ACCGTCCCCGGGTTAACGCTACTGTTATAATACAGAAGACGTCTTAATATTAAAGAGGAATTTTTATGGGTTCACCACACCACGAAGTGGTGTGGTGAAACCATATTGCTTTTTCTGATGTTTCTTCTCCTCCTTCTCCTCCTTCTTCTTCTTCTCCTGCCATTTTTAAATGGATTCAGCTTCTTCATTTTAGGGCCCAAGGTCCTGAAATTTGGTATGGAGGTACAGTGGGCAAATACCCCTAGGCGTTTTTTAAATTATTGTGATACAGGCTTTTAGAATGGTTTTATTTGAGTTTTTTGGCTGTGTTATAGCAAATGTATTACTGTGTTAGTCTGCCTTGTTTACCACGTTTGGGCATGAGTCATCACAATGGAATGCAGGGCATCAACCAATAGGCATGCAGCTTTCCTCTATACTTCTTGCTGATTGGCTGTTGGGATTTAACTTGATTAACACCTGCACAGAAGCATTTCCATACGGACAGTATGTCTGTATTCAAGTGTTTTGGTAGGTATTTCAAGCTTTCCTGCTCCAGCATTGGAATGCCGGGCATGGTACGTTTTTTTTTATTTTGAAAATCAACAGTTTGCATTATGCAATTAAAAATCCTAACCAATAAAGTAGGGAATAGCTATCCAACTGTTGTTTTAGTTGTATTTTACTTCATATTATAGTTATATCAATGTAACGTTAAATCATTGTTTTCCCTTGTGTTTCCCATTCTTTCCCTGCCATGTCGTAAAATGTGGTGAACCCATCGCTGTATTTGCTCCAAAGCAAATATTGGCCTTTCTAGTTATATACCTAAATTTTGATTGTAGTTTATAAAACGTAACGTGAATATTTTTTTCGGGGTAGATGGCTGTAACGTTACATGTTGTAAGCATAGGGACCACAGATAAACGCAATAATGCGAACCACTGCCGGTAACTTTACCGCTTTTTTTCCAGAATTTTGTGAATTTCAAAAAAGTTACAGTATAAATATGAGATGGTAAAAATATGGATTATTATTTATCTACATATATCTAGTCAGTAAAATTGTTTTTTTTTTTTAGAAATGGACTCACGTGAGTGACAAAGTTATTGCGTGTTGATGCGGTGGCTGAGGGAAAATGGGGAAGACGAGCAAAGTTGTCGTCTGCGGGCAGGTTTTGAGCGGGAAAACGGCGGTTCTGGAGCAGCTCATCTACGGGAACCACACGGCGGGAACGGTAAGGGTCGGCTACAGGAGTTACAGACGACAAAAAGCACCACTTTTGTGGATAACGTGGTTTTATGGGTGAAAATCGTGCTATGGCGGCAGGTGGGGAGGGGGGCGTTCCGACCCTACAGAGAAACGTTGTTTATTTACTTATTTACAGGACGTTATGGTCGAATCGGAGGTCCAAATGGTCTCCCTGCAGACTGGTTTCCACATGCTAGACATCTAGGGGACTGCCTGATGGTAGCCATTGGGGAAATACATAGAAAACAAAACCAGGGATAGGGAGAAATTCACAATTCTGAAAAAGTACTGTGTGACTGTGAGAGTAGAATTTTATAGAAACAGTAAACAGTCCTGGTCCAGGTGATCGAACCCACGCCAAACCCGAGTACCAGTTCACCTGCCAACACTCTAAAAATTTGGGTAAAAGGTCTACTGTAGACCCCTCAGTGGGGTCAGTTGGTAGTGCCTATAAACTCCCCCACCATTACAGTACTACTGTCAAACCTGCCCAGGAAGACCACCCTGGGGACTGAGGTAAAGCTAAGGTTGTTTCCATGATAGGTGACCACCTTGGTGTGTGGGTGTCGTAAGCTGGCTGCCCAAGTTCGGCGCGGGTTCGATTCTTGGCGTCCCAGGAGTCAGGGGTTTTCCTGTTGTTTCTACTTGCTCAGGACTGTTTGTTGTCCTCCATGTCTTGACACTGGAGACGTGAGATTTTGATTTTGCTGTCCCCTGCAGCAGCTGTTCCCGACTATTGAGGACATCTACGTGGCAAACATCGAGACGGACCGGGGCGTCCGCGAGAAAATCAGGTTCTACGACACCGCAGGGCTGGTGAGTTAATATTAACCTCTTTAACTAACTTAGAAGTTGACGGGGCCGACATCGTCTACCAGATACCTTTGACCCAGTGTTGACGTCACACTTCAAAGAAGCCACGTGACAAGCCTCACTGGGTCAGTCTACTGAGGAAGACCAGAGTGACTGGTTGAAAGTGAGAGAATTTTTTGTGTTGGATCAAAAGTTTTAACTCTAATTTCTGAACATGTAACTCATAACATAAGTTGATATCAACTTTGTACAGACTGGAAAGTATGGTGAGGCAATGATATTACTTGTAACTAACTTCTACAACTGCTGTTGTGTGATTTCAGAGTTCGGCCAATGCAGAGCTGCCCAAACACTACATCACTCTGGCAGATGTAAGTACTATACAACACTGTTTATCACATTTTGTGCAGTCTTGCAAGATAATATAGTATGTGCCACTGTTACAAAAACTGTATACTCATGAATGGTGGTTATACTTTTCACCACCAATCCAGACTCAAAAAATCAGTCAAAAAGTTATCAATAGGTTTTATCAAAGATCTAGCTATGAAGGAAAAACTGACATATTATGCCCCAGTATACCCATGACTGTTCAATGTATGTACACCATACTGTGGAATAGGTTAGGGTTTGGGTTGTGTCCTTGTACAGTATGACAGACCAGGTTTGGGTTATAATTAGGGCTATGGTTGGGGTTTACCAGTATGTTGTTTATGTTGTGCAGGGTTTTGTTCTGGTGTACAGCACGACCGACCGAGAGTCCTTCAAGAGAATCGACCTGCTGAAGAGAGACATCGACGCTGCCAGGGAGAAGAAAGAGGTCAGGGGTGAAGGGTTAAGGGTCATAGGGCATGAGAAAAAGGCCTAGGATATCCTCCATTTTCACAAACAATTTTTATCAGACTAATTTGAAATCAGTCAGTGAGTCTGGATGTACATACATTTTGTATACTGTGTAGTTAGATGTCAGAAAGAAAATTTAATAATATATATATATATAGTTTGAAGACATACAGTAGCCTGGGTGCCATCTGATTTGTAACAGCAATCCTAAAAAAATTGGGGTTGCCGTTACAAATCAGATGTCACCCAGGCTAGAACATTCAGTGGTATGATGGAAAAATGTTTGTTTACTTCTGTTGCCCAGGTAACAGTAGTTGCCGTGGGGACCAAGACGGACCTGAAGGATCGGAAGGTGGAGCTGAGGGAGGCTCAGAACTGGGCTCAGAAGGAGAAAGGTGAGAGTCAATCAGGAAGGAGACACTTAGAATCACTCCAGTTTTACTGTTTACGAGGAGGGCAAAATTTCTAAGCTGATATATGTATATATGTACATGATATTTCTATCTCCATCTGTTGTAAGGAAATTGAGATGATTTTCAATTTTGTTATTGGCTCTGACCTCATGTTAATGAAATGTAACTGAATGTTGGAGGTTTTGAAACATGTCATTGGTTAAACATTTTGTTCAGTACCAAAACTACAGCTGCTTTCCTTACCTTATAATTCTTATCCCCCCCCCTCCTAACATGATGTCTCCTTCTGTTCCAGTTCGGCTGTTTGAAGTTTCGGTGAAGGACAGAAAAACCCTAATGGACCCTTTTGTGTTCCTGGCCAGCAAAATGACACAGCCACAGAGTACGTTTGGTTTACTTGCTATTACATTCATGAAAAGGGACCGAGGTATTGTTTTTGGTGTATGTGTGTGTGGTGTGTGTGTGTGCGTGTGTCTGTGTGTGTGTGTGGGTGTCTGTGTGTCTGTGTGCATGTTTGTGTTTGTATGTGTGTGTGTCTGTGTCTTTTGGGATATTTGTGATCAGCATAGTTTCTCTTTAATAGTTATTTTCATTTATGATACTTGTTTGACTATAATAACATTGGGTTATTATGTGGAATTTATCACATTAGTGTGTTAGTGTTGTTAGTTAAAATGTTGTATGTCTGATTTTGGAATTTGTTCCTCTTTGCAGCCAAATCCAGATTTCCAGCTTTGGGGCCAAAGGTCAAACAGACATCTATCAATGACAGCTGAGAGCCCATTGGACAATGGTCACATGACCTCTTCCTTACATATCTAAGACTTTAAGAGTTACCTTCGATCATCAGAAAAGGATGCTAGACGGCTTCCAAAACGTAGACGTAATTTCACAGAAAACTTTGTCCAGTGGTCAATATAATGGATAGAATCATGAAATATCAGTCATTCCTGGAAACCAGACTTTCATGAACATTTAATAGCAAATTTATTTCACTGTAGAGGTCAGTGAAAAGTTGATAAGTGTAAATATGTTATAATTTCCTTGTTTGTCTAAATTATAAATAACAGCAGAGCTGGTAACAAATGCTTTGAGTTCATAATGTTTCTTTTTATTTTTTTTAATGTAACGTGATATGATAGCACTACATGTACATGTTGGAATATACACCAAGGAGGTTCACCAACCGTTAGAATTATCTTTCAAATCAACTGATAAGTTAATGAATGTGTGGTGTGGAATTATATAATAATGGCTGAGTGGCTAGGTTAGCAGCACAAGATCAAGAGGTCAGAGGTCCAATTCACAACTATTAGTTTTTGCCTAGACACAGGTATGAATGTTGACACAAAGGAGATATGTATGGCAACTACTGTATCAATGAAACACTGTGCGAATAGCTCAGATGATCAAGATGAAGCAATCATTTAGTGTTAATTTATAAAGTCTGTCTGAAATATCTCAAAAGTAGCAAGTGAAGAACACCAACATTTGCACCCTCCCCTTGGTAGGTATTAATGGTTCATCCCTGTTTGTGATAAGAAGCCACCAATGAAGGTGTAACAAGCGTTACATCAGCATTTTCACTTTTGCTTAAAGTCAACAACATCAAACACACCGTGGCCAAAGGTCCAGGTTGTTAGCAAACTTTGCCCACAGTTGATTTGCACAAGCCACGCCACGCCACCATTTTGGAGCGCGCCCTTCCCATGTCAAGTACAGATCCTACAGCCTTCTGGAGTTTATGAAATTCCTTGGATGTTACCAGTTACCTGAAGAAAGTAGCAGCATCTGATCTAAGGTGAGTTGTTACAGCTTTTAGTACTTTACATGTATATGTGAAAAGTCCATTTCTTTATTCCTTTAAAGGTTAACTTTCTGTGTATTACAGCTGGTGCCACACGTATGCCTTTCTGTCTTGAATCCGGTTTACATTTATATTACGCATTCCATCATGTTGCCTTTCTAAATTTAAACTAACCAGTGCTTTAAAGCCTTTACAAGGCATTAAGCAAGTTTTAAGAATTTTTTTTAATGAAGTTAAACAGTAATACTGGTCTGGGTCAAACTTTGTCCTTAACTTAGTAACGTTTTAAATCTATCATACAGACTGTGAGAGCGTTTAATGCTCATTACTTTCCATGAAGGGAAAAAAATGATACATCACTAAAAATTATGAGTTTATGGAACTCATCGATCAATAGAGTATATGACGTTGTATATGTTCATTGATTTTTTAAGAGTACTTCATACCCCCCAATTGCTGTGGTATAGCCCAACCTGCGAGTCTGGGGAAAGTTGAACTATTTTTAGCCTGGAAAGTTTTCTGACATCTTGTTTAATCAGTTGAAACTTAGTTCCTGTTCATAGTGACCGCTTTTTCTCGGCCCCAAAAATTTGCTGTATGAGTGAAATATGCTGTATTTGCTTCCTTTTTTAACCCACCTATCATCATGTTGAATTTGTTTGCTATAGAATTGATACCAAATAACATTCAGCATGTGAGTCTATATATTGCTGTTCCTGTTTATGACAAAATTTATTACAACATTTGACATTTTTACAGGTCAGAAACATACAACAAAAGTGTGTGCCACTACATTGGTACAGTGACAATGGCGGAGAAAAAAGCCATTTCCACAGAGGAGGAGATAGACCAGATGAACTTTGGTGAGTTATATTGGCTCCTACAAGAAGATGGCACCACTAAGGACGACATGGTTAAACTGTCAAGTGAGGAGGCGGCAAGGGCAGAAGTGAAGAAGAGGATCAGAGACATCCGGGCAGCAGCAGCTACAAGCAGACGTCCTGGTCAGGTGGGAAAATAAACCCCTTAAAGTTAAAATTTTATACATCTCTGACATGTATCTGTAACCAAAGCTGTAACAAAATGTGTCCATTGTAGTGGTTCGTAGAATTCAGACTGGCTGTTTGAACATCATTCATAGGGCTGATTTCATACTTAATACATTTTACTAGTTTGTATATATGTTGTATAATCGTTTCATCTTCAAGTCAATCAATTGCAAGCATTCAAAAAGTGCAAATGTTTGTATCAGGCCAACATGAATCTACAGGAGCAAATAATAAGTCTTACTGTAACACCAGATGGGGTAATTAGGCCACAGCAAGTAATTTTTATGGATGATATCAGCGCATGCATTTATTTTTGCCTGAGGCCACATCATCTTAATTTAATGGATGACATCCTCTGAAGACCCCCAAACTTGTGCGCGCGGGCGAATAAAAAAAAATTCAGAGCAAAAATAAAAATGCTACTAAACCACAGGAATACAAAGCTGGTATTGTGAATTTGCGGTAGTACATAGCGATATACATGTACAATGTACATGACAAGCCAGCACATGCTGCCTTTTTGTGGAATTTATGAGTCGGCACTGTACGTATGTGCAGCTCTTGACTCGTGGAGCTTTGGTGCCATCGGTGCCATCCTCCAGGGTTACCACCGGCTCCGTATTGTAGCTAACTACGATGGACTACCCAGGCCAGAGCCTCAGAGAACGTGATCTTTTTTTCTTTTTCTCGAAAATCAATGCGCGCGGATCACTCACTCACTCACTCACTCACTGTCCGGTTTATCGTCTGTTGTTCCCCGTCTTCCGAGGGTCCATAAAATGGATGTCGTCCATAAAATTAAGTCGGTGTAGCCTGCCTGATTTTGAAAAAAAAAGGAATTTTGTTACCCTCTGACAGTGGTCAACGTGCCAAAAATTTGCAAAGGTGTCTGTTGCCGTGCTGGAACATGAATGGTGTGTAAATATGAAGATGTATGTATGAGAGAGAGAGAGATTGAAAACGTTAATTTTAAAGTTGTTTCAGTGAGAAATGGATGAAATATACAAGTAAATAAAAATATACAAGCCAGTATCATGGACGCCTGATCATGTCTTTGAGGCACCTTGTTTGCTGTGACTTTTACACTTCCACTAAGGCCACACCAAGTCATTTTGTTGGTTCTCAGATAACACTGAGTCCACCGAGGCATCAAACAGGTCCTCAGACTAAGCTTTGCTTTCATTAGGTTTTTAATAACCATATTTTCAAAAAACCTGAGAGCAACAAATTAAATTGGTGTGGCCTAATCATTCATCATTCATTGCTTGCTGAAGTTGTTTATTGTCACACAGAAGTATGGAATAGAAAAGGGTAAAATGGAGTCTAGGTAAATGATACTTTTGAAAATTTGAACCTATAAGTACTTTCCTCCTTAGGCTGCAGACAAACTGAGGGAAATTAAGGAAGCACACAACGCAAAACGACAACGCCTGGCAGACTGCTGCAAGGACATTACTGCCTACCTTCCCAAACTGGATGAGCGTGTTAAGGACAAGCTGAAGATTCAGTTTGGTCGTGAGGTGGAAGACATCTCAAAAGATGTACAGAGTCACTTAGACAAGGACGAATGTCCTATTCTTGTTGCAGGTAGGTTTTGTCAGCAGATAGATTCTTAGGATCATGACATTCATGTTCTGTACTGAAATGGCCTTCAGAAAGTGTGTATTGATGGGATAATCCTTACTGACAAAAAATTGCACAAAGAAGCTATGATCATCTTTCCCTTTCAGGAGAAACCTCCTCAGGAAAGAGCACCATCCTGAACCTGCTGCTGGGAGAGGACATCCTGCCTGTGGCTCATAGCAGCTCCACCTCCACCATCTGTGAGGTGAAGTATGGAGAGAACAGGCGAGCTGTGGTCCATCTGCGCAAGGCCAACAAGCAAGGGGAAAGGCATATAACCATCCCACTGGACGGCACAGAGCTGAAAAGCTACATGCATGTGAAAGGAGCCAGCCGAGACATCCTTCCTCCAGCTCAGTGGATTGAGATCTTTCTGCCTCATCCTCTTCTTCAAGTAAGGCAGACTTGTCAAGGATTTTCAGTGCTGTAAGAAAGTGTAGTTTAGTAATGAAAATGAAAATGAATTTAAGGATAATTTCTTGCTTGGAATTTCCATTCTTTGGTCATGGCCACTAAAAATTGTAAAAGAACTCAGAGGTTGTACTAATTACTTACACAATAAAATGTATATGTAGCTATGGACAAAAGGTTATCAAATATAAAATCTGGAGTCATGAAATTATGAAATAGGTTTTTTTTAACATTTACTTTCAGGGAGGAATAGTTCTAGTGGACAGTCCAGGAGTTGGAGAAAATGACAAGATGGACAAAGTTGTTGCTGACTACATGCCAAAAGCCTTTGCCCTCCTGTACATCATCAACAGCTCCAATGCTGGAGGAGTGCAGCAGGACAGGGTAAGGCCTGGCTTACTTCGTAGTACAATTTATTACAGATCTACTAAATATCCAGGACAATCTGGCTTTGGAATTTCGCATTCTGTCAAACTTGTCTAAGACCTGTGGGATGGAGGAAAGGAGATCTTTATAAGACAAGCTAAGTCTTCTGATACTATTACAAAAAGCATGGCACAAGACAAGGCAGAGAACAAAAAAAATGCAGCAAAATTCTCACTCATTTTACAATAGACTGCCCCATTGACCCAAAGTAATTACATTGTGCAAAGACCGTCATGCTGTCGAAAGGCAATGGCAAATTAGGTGATCCCATCAAGATTTCTCGATAGTTGTCATCAACAAACATTTTCTGCCACACACTTGAACATGATGCAATATTCAGAGATTAGGCCATATGTGGTCCCAACTTGTGCTGATATGGGTCGTGTTGGACGTAGTGGTTCATTTATGGGGAAAGTTAGTCAAGCAAGTTTAACTCTAGATGCCATTGAGATTTTTACAAAAAAAATGTTTGGTAGTACTGTGAATGATTCTAATAAATGAATAAAGGCCATTGTGACTAATAAATGTTTGTCATGCATTTTCTTACTTTAATGCAGTTGGGTCGACTTCTTCAACTGTATAAAAAGAACAATGCTGATGACTTTGACCCAGAATCAGCCATGTTTGTGTGCAACAAGTGGGACTTTGTGCCTCCAGAGGAGCAAGACGAGCTGAAGACTGAAACACTCAGGAAGCTGTCAGCGATGTGGGATGGCCTGGAGGAGTCACAGGTGTTTTTTGTGTCCACAAAAAAGGCAAGACAAGATTTAATATTTTACTAGTACACACCAGCTGACATGTTTTGCTGACCATGACGCAAATACGTGTGACTCTTAAGTTGCCTTCATTTTAAACAATTTAGAATACTTTACTTATAAACTCAAATACCATTTTGTAATAAACTGTTTGTTGTTGGAGCAAAGAAAAAAAACAGCTTCTGATACAGATAGAAAATATCAGCAGTGGCTGAAAGCAGTGGAATTGTAACAAAAATGTCATTTTATCAGTTCTGATTTGCTACCATTTTTAAGACTCTGCATAACTGTATGGTGTGTTAATTTATCTCTCTAGCTTACGATTTACATTGTACATAGCATTTTTTTCTGGAGATCCCTCAACTAAGTACTAAATGTTTGATATACATTTACCCATCCTTGCTGCAGGCTGTGAGATTTCGAGTGATTTTCTCTGAAGACTTCTGCAAAGTGCTGGATGGTCTGGACTTTCTGATGTCAAAGAGTCTGGACATCAAACTGGAAACTCAGTACAGGTGGGAAACATTGTACATGCTGTATGGTTCATGTCTTAGTATAAGATAATCAGAGACTTTATGTTGAGTAATGCAGAGACTTGTAATATTTCCAACTTTTTGAAAACTCTAGCATCAAAAAGGAGTAACATGATTGGGCTCCAACCTGAAAGTTTATTAAGGAAGTCAGCCGACTGTAAAGAACTTTGTGTCTCATAAATCTTTCAGGTTGCTGTCTCGACTTTTGAGTGAAGCTCTGGTCCACATTAAGGTGCAGTTAACTGTTACCCATCAACATCTGACTGAGGGGGATAAATTTAGAAAATGTGATGAGGCAAAACAACATCTACAATCATTTCAAGGGAGCTATAAACAGAGCACAGAGAAACTAAACAATGAGTTGAGGGAAAATGTGGAAACCACAAAGAGTATCCTGTCTGACCTGGTGAAGAAAGGTGGCCTGAAAAAAGAAGTGATGGAAGTACAAAAGCTTCATTTGAGTCTCCCAGATGGTTCCATCACTACGAGAGATCAAGATCGCGAGTTAGTCAAGAGAGGTGAGGATTTCTCAATGCTGAAAGATCTGTACGAGGCCCTGCCAGGTATTCTGGCTCATTATGACTCATTTGAAAGGTCTGTTAAACCAAAGGAAATGTTGGACTCCTTTAAACGGAAATTGAAAGAGGTAGCTAATTCGTTGGAGAAAGCCCAGCAGCATGTAATGGAAATCATCACAGGCAGCTCCTTACCTGTGTCCCGCATGCAAGTTCGTGACTTTCTGTCCCAACCCAATGCATTCATCAGAGGTTTGAGGAAGACATTCTTGCTCTGGTCAGGAAGGTTGAGTGCAGCACATGCATATGCATACGTGAGAAAATGGAAGGCCAGCAGCAGCACTGTGTCCATACTCAAGAACTACTGGAAACAAGCACCCGAAGGCACACCCCTGGTAGACCTCCTGATGCAGGCACTGTCATCAAAGGATGAACTGATCACTGAGCTGGCTGACAGGCAGATGCAGCCACAGCGAGACTTGATGGCTCTACTGGAAGATGACTTCAAAAAGATGAAGGACATTATGGAGCAGACAGTAGACCAGACCTTCAAAGACACCAGAAGCAATGAAATAATCAAGCAAACCTATGAGCCACAAAGTGAGGGCATCAACAGCTTCCTGGGCCAGCTGGCAATGTTCCACCTGACTGAGATGAGAAAGTATGAGTATCCCCTGGACAGCATCACAGGTTGGACGGATCCAAGGAACAAGATAGGAGGCGGATCCTTTGGTGAAGTGTACCGAGTCCAAGTCCCATGGAAGGGAGCAGAGACACCAGCAGCACTGAAGCTTGGACTCATGCCATATGACATCATAACAGCAGAAACTGCCTGGGACTTCCTGCAGGAGGAGGAAACCATACGGTAAGCTGAGCTCTCTCAAACAACTCTCATCAAATGTCTCACTTATGCTTTTAGTGATGCAGGTAGGCTGCATCAATATTTTGAAAATTATGTTTTCACTGTCAAAAATCTGTTTATTCCAGGAGGCTGACGGGGGACCACATTGTGGAGTACTACGGTACTGCATTTAAGAGAATAAAGGCAGATGGACAGCCAGAAGGACAGCCAGTTGGACAGCCAGGCAGACAGCAAGGTGGACAGACTGGCAGACAGCAAGGTGGACAGCCAGGTGGACAGCAATGTGGACAGCCAGGTGGACAACCAGGTGGACAGCCGAGCAGACAGCCAGGTGGACAACCAGGCAGACAGCAAGGTGGACAGACTGGCAGACAGCCAGGTAGACAGCCAGGTGGAAAGCAATGTGGACAGCCAGGTGGACAGCCACGTAGACAGCCAGGTAGACAACTAGGTGGACAGCCTGGCAGACAGCCAGGTGGACAACCAGGCAGACAGCAAGGTGGACAGACTGGCAGACAGCCAGGTAGACAGCCAGGTGGACAGCAATGTGGACAGCCAGGTGGACAGCCACGTGGACAGCCACGTAGACAGCCAGGTAGACAACCAGGTGGACAGCCTGGCAGACAGCAAGATGGACAGCCAGGTAGACAGCAAGGTGGACAGACAGGCAGACAGCCAGGCAGACAGCCAGGTAGACAGCAAGGAGGAGGGCCGGGTGGACAGCCTGGCAGACAGCTAGGCAGACAGCAAGTGGGGCAACCAGGCAGACAACCAGGTGGACAGCCAGGCAGACAGCACGGTGGACAGCCTGGCAGACAGCACGGTGGACAGCTAGGCAGACTGCCAGGTGGACAACCAGGCAGACAGCAAGGTGGAGAGCTAGGCAGACAGCAAGGTGTGCAGCCTGGCAAACAGCAAGGTGAACAGCCTGGCAGACAGCAAGGTGGACAGCCCAGTGGACAGCAAGGTGGGCAGCCGGGCAGACAGCAAGGTGAACAGCTGGGTGGACAGCCCAGTGGACAGCAAGGTGGACAGCCAGGCAGACAGCAAGGTGAACAGCCTGGCAGACAGCAAGGTGGACAGCAAGGTGGACAGCAAGGTGGACAGCCGGGCAGACAGCAAGGTGAACAGCTGGGTGGACAACCAGGTGGACAGCCGGGTGGACAGCAATGTGGACAACAATGTGGACAAGAAGGGGGACAGCCAGACGGACAGTCAGATAGATTGAGACTTGGACTGGTCATGGAGCTATGTGACGGCACACTGGAGAGCAGGATCATTGGACAGAAGTAAGGGTTAAATATGATTGTTGACTTTAAAGGCCCTGCTAGCACATTTACTCCATTCATATTGCAATGAAAGAACACTATCACCAACAGTTTTATCCCTTGAAGACAAAAAGAACAGGAATCATACATCCCATCAAAAATATAGCACTGTGTGAATTCACAGCAATATTTTCTTACAATGAAAACTATATGTTGCAAAAGCCAACATTCCTGGGAAAGTGTTATGTCGACATAATTATAGCATCCACTGACCATGACATGTCGTCTAAAAACCATGATATTATATATGTTACAGATGCAGAAACCGTAACCCAGCCTGGTGGGGTTCTTACCCAGAGAAGCAGGCAGCAGCCTTCAGCTACACCAAAGACAAGGCCATACAGCTGTGTGAGGGACTTAAGCAGATCCATGATGCTGGATACATACACAGGGACCTCAAACTCACCAATATACTGGTATGTTGTATGCAGCAATGTGTTTTAGTAGACCACCTCCTCTGACAGTAAGTTGTCATAGACAGACCACATCATTCTGTAACTGATTGTGAATAAAGGACTCAAACCACAGCAGGCAACCAGACAGTCCACACATCTCTTCTGCTTTTAGCATCTTTACATTCTGCTAATTTAAAAAACATATGACCTTGTACATGTACATGTAATACCGATTGAGTTGCATGCATCATTCTTAAGTCTGCAATCTCTGATTACCTTGTGTCTCAATTTTTAGACTTCCTCTTTTAAACATAATGTACATTGTATCATCATCATACTACCTTGAGATCTTTTCTTTATGGTTACAAAGTATGTTTTGAAAATTGTTGCAAGTAAACTGTTGGCAGGTAAGGTTTGTTTCATATCTGCACTTGTCAAGGTGACAAAGTACGGCACAGTGAAGCTTGCTGATGTTGGACAGACCAAGCGAGAGGATAAAATCACAGGCACCATAGCCGGAACTGCCATCTATGCAGCCCCTGAGGTGAAGGAACAGAAGGTTTACGACAAGAGCGCTGACATTTACAGTCTGGGCCTCATCCTGTTTGAAATGTGGTACGGCAGAACTCTATATGGACACCAGGTCAGTCAGACTGTGTGCAGATTTCTCACTTTTCTCCAGGTTACTGTCTTAAAACCTTTTAGTACACAAATGTCTTGTAACATGTACATGTACCTGTAGGCATCCTTCCATCTCGAAAGGTGGAAAACATGTACCACATGACATAGGACTGGTCTTAATTGTAATGTTTGCACCGAAACCATTTACCAGTTACCTTAGTTTACAGTGCAAATCAAAACATAGCTAACCAGTATCTAGAGAAAATGTTGTGTACATTTTTGTAGCTGCCTAAATGCTTAGGCCAGAACTGGCCCCTTGCTCCTCTTCATTTTTATCATGTATAACGTTAAGATTCTTAAAATGTTTTGTACTACATCACATTGAAAGTCTGTATTCATGTAGCGCTTCAGAATCTGTAAAACAGGATTTGTCTGGTTCAGCTGTACCCAGAACTAGTTCTGCCTGAGACAGATCACAATGCAATTATTATTATATATTTATAATAATCTTTAATTGTTTTGTCAGGATATCACTTACATCAAACAGATGGAAGAAGACAGGAAGGAAGGGAAAGACATCAGGATGCCACAATGGCAAGGAACAGTCCCCCCCATTCCTGAATGGAACAGGCTGATCCAGGACTGCCTCAAGAAGGATCCAAAGGAACGACCAGAAATACAGGAGTGTCTGGACAGAATGAAAGCTATGAAGCTTGAGCAGACCAAAAAATAGACTGATTCAGAAGTATATTTAGTTTGGTTTGGTAATGACTGTTCTTTGTCATCAGTAACCAAAATACATGTAGTGGTGATTGTGCTTTGTTGGAGTAGTGTTTCTATTTTGGCAGATTTAATTTATACACGTGACATTGTTTACAGGCTGGCTTTCAATGTTATCTTAAAAGTAGCCTTCGAGGTATCCATCAAGCTGTTCAAAAAGGATACAAGGTAAATTTTACTTGACATCTTGTATAGCTTTTCTACTACAAATGGGAAACAGAGTGAAATGTTTTAATAATGAATTCAAAGTTCATCTATGTTGGTAGTAAAATGTTGAACTTTATTCCAACACAAGGGTTACAGAGAGATCAAATTTTCAACAACCACTGTCGCCTTCATCAGGATAATTAATGACCAATCACTTCCGAACCTACACTCGTGAGAGTTACGGTTTACAGACACAGGCTTTATGGATACATATTGTAAGCAATTGATAAAAAGTGCTAGGGAGTTTACATTGTATATTGTTGTTAGTGTGGCATCTTGTGCTTAAACAAACATATCCCTGCAGCTTGCAGCATTATTTGTCCAGTGGTATAGATGGAATCATGAAATATCCTTCATAACTGAAAGCCATGCAGACTTTTAAAAATCTTACTGTAGACATTAGTGAAAGGTCAAGGTAAATATGTTATAATTATGGTATTACATGTCGCATGTACCAGTGAGTACCTCTGCATCAAATTCCTTGCTAATGAAGAGCAGTGCTGGTAACAAATGCTTTGGGTTGAGGATGATTGTTTCTTTTTAACGTAACATGAGGTGACAGCACTACAATGTACATGTAACATGTTGGAAAATACATTGTACACCAAGGAGGCTCACCAACAGTTAGAATCAAGTGACTGGGTGATCTAGAATGGCTGAATGGCATGGCTAGCATTGGATCTAGAAGTCACAGGTTGGATTCACTACAGTTATATGTAGTTTGTGGGGGCCTGCATACCCTTTATCGTGAGCTGTAATCAGGCATTTTTAGTCTTTGTAATCCGTAGGCAGCTTCCCCAAAATTCAATGTAATTTGTAATTAGTACATTAGCCAGAAAGCATAAAGTCGTAATAATTAGCTGTGAGACTTTAACAAAATTCATAATGGGCGGTGAAAATTTTGTGTAATTCGTAATCACTTATGCGGGCCCTCACTTGTACCTGGACACAGTAATGCGAACTAAGGGGTAATACAACTACGTTGTGTCAATGAAAAATAACTGAAATAGGCCAACAAAATCAATTATTATTTTAGAGGCTGTCAGAAATAGCTCAAACTACTAAGTGAAGGAACATGCACTAATGGGCACATCTGCCCCTCCCCCAGGTATGTTAATGGTTCATCCCTCTTTGTGATAAGAGCCACCAATAGAGGTGTAGCAAGAGTTACATCAGCATTTTCACTTTTGCTAAAGTCAACATCAAGTCATATGATGACCAAAGGTCTGAGCAAACCTTGTCCAGTTGATTTGCACAAGCCAGTCGCCACACCAGCATTTTGCAGCGCGCCCATCGAGAGTCAAGTACAGATCCAACGTCCCTCTGGAGTTTTCTTGGATGTTACCTGAAGAAAGTAGCTGCATCTGATCTAAGGTGAGTTGGTGCTACAGTTTTTACTATTAACACACACAGTGGTCACCCTATTTTCAAAAATTATTTTCTTTATACCTTAGAGAGTCAAACTTTGTAAGTTTGTAACATTTTACATTCATACAGACTGTTAGAGAGTTTATAATTATATCATTTCCAATAGAATGCTCCAGCAAGGGAGAATATGAATTAATATAATAATTGTACATATATATATACCCAACTGAAGTAGGGTATTTATGGGAATTAACAGGTGACTTTATGTGTTCATTGATTTTTTAAGAGCACTTCCTGTCTGAACACCCCACCCCCCATTGATATTATAGTACTGTCCAAACTGTGCATGTCTAGGGGAAGTTGATATGTTTTTAGACATGATTCATATTTAGCTCCTACACCTACCTCATTTCAACTGACTCCCAGTCCCATACATGTAGCTAGGCAAGATCTGGACTGTGCTGTAGATGAGTTTTAGTCGGAATTATTGTATCATTGATATAATATTTGTGACTTGAAGTAGACAAATGTTTCTGCTCAGTATCTTCAAAGTTTCCCAAACATTTGGCACCTTCAGACACATCTTCAGACTCATGGATAAAGGTCCAATTCTGTAAAAGCTTGACACAGAACAGATCATTTTTGATAGGGGAAAGAGATGGAGTGAAATATGCTGTACATGTATTAAATTTTGCTTGCTTTTTAACCCACCTATCATCATGTTGCTATAGAATTGCTGCCAAATAATGCAATTTATACACAATATTGCATTGCAACAGTTAATATGACTATAAGTTTCTGTTTATGACAACATTTATTACAACATAATTTGATATTTTCACAGGTCAGTATACATAAAACAGAAGTGTGTGCCACCACATTGGTACAGTAACAATGGCAGAGAGGACAGCCCTCCCCACAGAGGAGGAGGTGGACAAGATGAACCTTGGTGAGTTATATTGGCTCCTACAAGAAGATGGCATCACTAAGGACGACATGGTTAAACTTTCAAGTGAGGAGGCGGCAAGGGCAGAAGTGAAGAAAAGGATCAGAGAGGCACAAGAATCAGGGAAACAACCTGGACAGGTGAGAAAATCAACCCCAGAACTGCTGTACAAATGTGTATATCTGTGTTGTTGTTGGCTTCTTCTTCGGTATGTCCATATTCGAGATTGGTCCGGCTGTTTGAACGTCAAATGATCGATGCTGTTCCTGGTTCTCTAGCATTTGATGACAACAGTTACTGTATACATACATGGAGAAACTGTAATAGGTAGGAAGACAATTAAGAGGGTAGTGGCAATCAATTGTTTTCAGTTCCATTCATTGGTTGGTTGAACAGCACGCATGCTTGGGACTTTCCTACTATGACATGAGTTTTATGACACGAGTCAGCAAGAAGATTGAGACATCATTGACCAATCAGAAACTGAATTATTTTGATATTGATTTTGAGGCCTTGATACTATTGGCTGGGATTTTTGATGCTGTAGTTATTTAAACTTCATAGAAAGCAAATTGGCAAATTTTATTAATTAAAGGAAAGCATCTGTGACATATCTTACAATAAACATTAAACAAAAATTTTAAGCAGTTTAATTAATAGCTCTAATTGATTTCACAATGCATGCAAGCTGACAAGGCTAATAGTAATACATTGTACAACATGTACATGACTGTCTTGTACATATCCTTGGGTTCATGAACAGGCCTGCTTGTTGTGAGGGGGTACATTCAGGTTATGGGAACAAAGCAAGCCTGATTCCACCTTTAAGTTATATGCGCCCAGTATTTAGAGTCAGATAGATGTTATGCCAAAATGAATGACTAGTTGGAAAGTTCATCTTGTTGCCTAAAACTCAGACATTTCTAAATGTAGGCTGCAGAAAGCCTGCGGGAAATCCTGGCTTTGCACAACTCAAAACGAGAAGAGCTGTCAGAGTTGTGCCGCAGCATCGCTGCCTACCTTCCCCGTCTGGACAAGGGTACTAAGGACATCCTGAAGACACAGTTTGGTCGTCCAGTAGAAGACATCTTAACAGATGTGCAGACACAGTTACACAAGGAAGAGTGCCCAATTCTTGTTGCAGGTTAGTGTAATGTTATTGACCATGGTAGTATTACTTCTGAATCAGTGATTATCACATTTTTTTGCACTGTGATCATGGTATTTTGCTGCTTCTGTGGTGACCAATAATATCACTACACGGTCTTAATATACTTTCAATCATATTCTGTTTTTCCCTGTATCATATGGGTACATGGAAACATAGGTTTCTTCTGCAACCCAGTATCATTTGGGTAATCTATTAGTAAGAGCATGATTGAAGGATTACTTGACGATAGGAGAATAGCTTGGCCATTGGGCAATATCCCAGAGTTTTCTTTCCTTTTATTGTAACAGTTACTTTTAAATTATTACATTCAATATGTTTTCCAGATTTTTGGTTATTTTTAATCCAGAGAGCAAAAGCACAGAACACATTCATCAGTGAAGTATTCAAGTGACCGAAAATAAATTTTGCAGAAGATGCATTGTTGGGCACTTTAATTTATTGTTCATACTAATTTACAACATTCATAAAGCATGACACAAAATTCTTTTTGTTCAGGAGAAACCTCCTCAGGAAAAAGCACCTTCCTGAACCGGCTGCTTGGTGAGAACATCCTGTCTGTGGCCCATCTGAGCAGCACTTCCACCATCTGTGAGGTCAAGTACGGGGAGACCAAGCAAGCCGTGGTCCATCTGCGCAAATCTGGAATCATGACACCAAAGCCTGTCACCATCCCACTGGACGGTACAAAGGAGCGTCAGGATGAACTGAAAAGCTACATACATGTGAAAGGAGCCAGTCGAGACCAACTTCCTCCAGCTGAGAGGGTCGAGATCTTCTGGCCTCTTCCTCTTCTTCAAGTAAGGCTAACTTTTTAGATAAGCTCAAAACTTGATTTGGAGAGACTCTCAGGAAAGCCCTGGTGAAAATTTTAAGATACAGTTGTTACCTGTCCGGTTTATCGTCTGTTGTTCCCCGTCTTCCGAGGGTTAGACGTGCTTGCACAGTACATCTGGGGCTTGATGGCCGCTCGCCACTTGTCTCTGTCCTGTGGGTTGGTCTTGCCCAGGTTCAGGTGGTGGAGGTCCTCCCTTATGTTGTCGAACCATTTCCTCCTAGGGCGGCCACGGGGGTTTGGACCCTCCACATCTAGTGTGAGGATCCTCTTTGGCCATTTGTCCCTGTCCATTCTCTGGAGGTGGCCGTACCATCTTAGTCTGTTGGATCTTACTGTGTCCTGGATGTTGTGGACTCCAAGCCAAGTGCGTAGCTGTTCAGTTGACTGGTGGTCTGCCAGTTACCTGGAGCACATCCTTACCATGGCCTTGTTGCTTCTAATCAGTCTCTTCATGTCCTCTGCTGTCACAGCCCATGTCTCAGAAGCGTAGAGTAAGACGCTTCTGACACAAGAGTTGAAGACATGCCCACGGTTTCTAAGAGGTATATAGCTGTTCGTGAGGATGGGGAGAAGCTCATGAAAGCTTTTCCAGGCAGACCTAATCCTGGCAGTCACTGCGTCAGAGCAGCCCCCAGACTGGCTTATCATGTCTCCCAGGTAGCAGAAGGTAGGTAATACTTTGAGGCTTTCGTTGCCAACAGTCACTTGTTCTGTGGGTGTTTGAGGGGATGTGAGGAGTCCACTAGTACACCTCCTGCATTTGAAGTTGGTGTCTACCCTCAGGCTACCCTTGATGTTTGTGCACCGTTTATGTATCCAGTGTCGGCACTTTCCACAGAAGATGGAGTTCGTGCCGACGCCCCTCCTACAAACACCACAAGGGAACTTCCCGGACTCCTTTACAGGCCTGGTGTGGGCATGTGTGCTGTGGAGGACCATGGTCTTCCCTGTGTTCACTCTCAGGCCGCGTGACCCCATGCTGTTCTTCCAGCAGCTGAACCTACGCCCCAGCTCCTCAAGGGACTCTGCAGCTAACATCAAGTCATCAGCATACAGCATCTCCCAGGGGCATCCAGTCCTAAACTCCCTGGACAGCGCCTCCATGACAATGATGAACAGCAGTGGGCTGAGCACAGAGCCTTGGTGAACACCAACCTTGACCTCGAACTCAGAGCTGTAGCTGCCATTCACACGTACACATGATGCAGCATGTCTGTACATGGCTTGTACAACCCTGATGACCCACTCTTCTACACCCAACTTCCTCATGGCCCACCATAGCACTTGTCTTGGCACTCTATCAAAGGCCTTCTCTAGGTCGACAAACATAAAGTACAGGTCCTTCCTCTTTGCAAGGTGTTTTTCCTGTAACTGTCTCAGTATGAAGATGGCGTCCATGGTACCTTTCCCAGGCATAAAGCCAAACTGCATGGAGTCTATATCTACTTGCTCCCTGATGAACGGTTCTATAACCCGCTCCATCACCTTGAGCACCTGGTCTAGCAACTTGTTGCTGTTAGATTATGAGATCAGCAACATTCATTGAACAAGTCAGACCATCGATTATCATGATACCAGACTGAGTAATACTAGCTAAGGCCACACCGACTTAATTTTATGGATGACATCCTCTGAAGACCCCCAAACTAGTGCGCACGGGCGAATAAAATAAAATTCATGCTGAAAATAAAAATGCTACTAAACCACAATCATGGATACAAAGCTGGTAATAATTGTGAATTTGCGGCAGTACATCGCAACGTATATAACAAGCCGGCACATGCTGGCTTTTTGCGGAATTTATGAATCGGCACTGTACGTATATACTGAGTTCTTGAGTCGTGGAGCTCCGGTAGCCTGGGTGCCTGGCTCCGTATTGTCGCTAACTACTATGGACTACTCAGGCCTAGAGCCAGGCCAGAGCCTCGGTGGACGTGATCTTTTTTCTGGATGTCATCCATAAAGTTAAGTCGGTGTGGCCTAATAATAGTATACAGTGTCCAAGTTATAGAGTTATTCAAGCTTGTGAGTAGAATATATTTTAAAAACTTATAATAATATCAAAGGAGCAAGCAAAAGAAAGACTCCAGACTTCTAAACCACTTAGATGTACCAAAATTATCTTCTGATTACTGATTACTGTTAATGATAACGATGTCATGTTGATGTCACCTTCTTGTAACTTAGAAAAATTGTGTCAACAACATATTACTAAGTAACTGTTGAAAACAGCTAATAAAGTTAATGATTTTTGCTTTGAGGGAGGATAATATAGCAGGTCATTATCTTACTTTCAGGGAGGAATAGTCCTAGTGGACAGTCCAGGAGTGGGAGAGAATGAGATAATGGACCAAGTTGTTGCTGACTACATCCCAAAAGTCTTTTCCTTCCTGTACATCATTGACAGCTCCAGGGCAGGGGGAGTGCAGAAGGACAGGGTTTGTTACTTATATATATATTAGTTACTCTCCCAGCAGAGGTTTGGGTTTTGGCATATTCTTGGCATTTTTAAGGCCTTTTTTTATCAGGGTTTTTTTTTTGCAGTGGATTTTTTTTTACATTGAGTTGGCATAAAAAAAATTCCACTGCAAAAAAAAAACCCTGATAAAAAAAGCCTTAAAAATGTCAAGAATATGCCAAAACCCAAACCTCTGCTGCATGGGAGAGTAACTAAGTTTTTTTTTTATCTCAGTTACTGTACAACAGGATAATATGATTTCAAATTTTAATGTCATGTAAAATTTTAACATCAAACTTAAGGGCTCATGACTTTTTAGGCCCGGCACTGAAGTTACCAGTAGATATGTCATGACATTGTAGAACAAACTATTGGCCTAATTAGTCTTATAATTACAAGACTTTGTTCCTGGGAAATTTCCTTATTTCTATAGGCTAAACTTGTACATGTTTATCATATGTGTTATGCCATTTTATATCATGATTGTACACATTTCAGTTGGGACGACTTCTACACCTGTATGCAAGAAAGGGCAATTCTGGAAATTTCAAGCCAGAATCAGCCATGTTCATCTGCAATAAGTGGGACCTGGTGCCACCAGAGGATCAAGTTGAAGTGAAGAGTGACACACTCAGGAAGCTGTCAGAGAAGTGGCCTGGCCTGGAGGAGTCACAGGTGTTCTATGTGTCAATGGAAAAGGTAAGCATAGCTTGCAGACTCAAACATTCATACATACAGTACATCAGATATATAATAAAATACATGTAGTATGAAATTGGTACTAGCACCTGGCTTACTTTCTTGAACATCATTCTAGAAAGTGTATTTGCACATAACTTATTATTTTCTCTTCCTGTTGAAGCGACATCAATCATACTCAATACAGGAGAGGATAATCAGCTGCTGCCCTGCATTGTCCTCAAGTCTGTTGATGTCTTGTTGGGTATGGGCCCATGGCTCCCATACAGCTGCTGCACACTCTAGTATAGAACGTACTGTACACCATCTCTTTGATGCGTCTAGAACTGATCTTGATTTATCTTCAGAAAGCCCAATGCAAAGTCTTATCGCACAGGTTGTTGATGGCTCTTTCCAAGAGGTATTTTGTGATGATAACCCCAAAGTAATTGACATTTAGTCTCTAACCTAGTGTACATGTAAGCTGGTAGTCGTACTGAAGGATGACCCTCCCACTGCAAGTCACATGAAGCGTCTGACACTTCCCAGGATGAAATGCCATATTCCCACCTCTTCTCCCAGTCACCAAGCCATGAGGTCTTATTGTAGGAGGGCCTGGTCTTCCATTGAAGTGATGGTGTTGTACACTCCAGTGTCATCAGCAAATACTATTAGTACATGACTTATTGATAGTCTCATGATTGTTACTTTATTGTTGCTGCAGGCAGTAGGACCATTTGGGATTCTGTCTGAAGACTTCACCAAAGTTCTGGATGGTCTGGACTTGCTGCTGCCAAAGAGTCTGGACATCAAACTGGAAACTCAGTACAGGTGGGAGAAAACCTATAAAAAATTTGATGAAAACTTGACTCTGGTTGGTCATATCTCCATTGATTCCTTATTCATTTTATTGTCATTACATGTACTAGATAGCATGTTGATTGCCTTATAAAATGGTAACTTTTTTTTCTATAAAATAAGGCAAACTAGTGTGCGCGGGCAAATAAAAAAAAATTCCGGCCAAAAGTAAAAATGCTGCTAAACCACAGGAATGCAAAACTGGTGAATTTGCAGCAGTTGTATACGACAAACCAGTGCATGCTGGCATTTTATGTAATTTATGAATCGGCACTATACATTGTACGTAATGAACTGAGTTCTTGAGTCGTGGAGCTTCGGTAGACTTGGTGTTCTGCTCCGTATTATCGCTAACTACCACGGACCCTTTTCTTTTAGAACAGGCGAAAATCAATGTGCGAGCGGATGTCATCCATAAAATTAAGTCGGTGTGGCCTAATGATAACTTTTTCAACTCTGGTGGACTTAATATAGTTCTGAAGTTTTTGTCATACATTGTGATTGATGAGTGGAAGACCATGACTATGCCGGCCTGCAGGGCAAAAATTTCTGTGCCAACACAGTACTTTGCATTTGCAAGACAAGCACTTTTTCTGGCAGTATCGAGTCTAGTTTCCATACTTTTTTGTTTTTGTTAAGTTAGTAGGGCTTGACTTACATGTACCCCTTCATGTGCAAGTGCAAGCACTAAGCTTTTTTGTACATTGTTAAGTATTTTTTTGTACATTGTTGAGTTTTTCTTTCTGTGCACCTTTACCAAATATTGTAACTTAAGGCCTGTTAGGATTACATTTTATACAGTGAGCTATATGCACCCATGCGTAGCGTATACGTACAGCTTAAGGCAAAGGAGATGACACAAAGTTAAAAGTTATTTTATACTACTTGTTTCAGGTTACTGACTGACATTTTGAGTGTAGCTCTGAGACATGTTGACTCTGTGCTAAATGTGGCTCGTCAAGACCTGGACAGCGACACTAAAGTGAAAATGTTCAAAGAGGCTCAGGAACATCTTCAATCATTCCAAGAGGAAACAAACATGAGAATGGAGGCATTGAGAAATTTGATGAGCAGCAAGATGAAGCCCACAAAGGATACCCTGTCTAGCCTTGTAGAGAGTGGTAAACTGAAAAAGGATACATTGAATGCAGTAGGGATCTCCTGGGCAAGGCCGGCATCGCAATTACTCTTTAACTCATGGTATAACAATGTTTTGGCTAAGATGAAATATGAGAAGAAAACCCCATGGGATGATGAGAATTTCTCCAAATTGAAAGATGTCTATGCAGCCCTGGCAGATGACTTGGCTCACTGTCCTTCGTTTCAAGACCACATGACTTCCATTGAAAGGCACTTTGAGCAGGAAATGAAAGAAGCAGTTGAGTCACTTGAGTCTGCACACCGGCAAACAATGCATGCCTGCAGTTGTGGCCAAGGTGTAACGGGGCAAATGGACATCCGTAATGTTCTGTTCCACAGAGCATCCTTTTGGGAGCGTTTGGCTGCATTCTGGAAAGGATTATCACTGTCGTCCCTGAGCAGTAGGTTAGGGAGGTTTGGAAAGAGCATTGCAAAGGCAGTTTGGGGGTCCAAAAGCAGGGTAGAATCCATACTGCGCAACTACTGGAGACAAGCACCTACAGGCACACCCCTGGTAGAAATCCTGATGCAGGCACTGTCATCATCAGATGAACTGCTCACTGAGCTGGCAGAAAGGCAGATGCAGCCACAGCGCAACTTGTTGGCTCTACTGGAAGCCGACATCACAAAGATGAGGACCATCATGGAGCAGACAATACACCAGACCTTCAAAGACACCAGAAGTAATGAAATGATCAAGCAAACCTATGAGCCGCAAAGTAGGGACATCAGCAACTTTCTGGGCCAGCTGGCAGTGTTCCACTTGACAAGCACTAGGAGGTACGAGTATGACCTGGACAAGATCAAAGGTTGGACAGACACAAGGAACAGGAAAGGAGGCGGCTCCTTTGGTGAAGTGTACCGAGTTCAAGTCCCATGGAAGGGAGCAGAGACTCCAGCAGCACTGAAGATTGGACTCATGCCATACGACATCACAACTGAAGAAACTGCCTCTGACTTCCTGAAGGAAGAAGACAACTTACGGTAAGGCAGCTAGAGCAACTCTTAATCTCAATTGAGATTGGTTAAGTTAAACATATAATAATGTCAGTTTCAATGAACAGAACATTCACAATTAAGTACCCCTGAGTCAGCTTTATCCAAAATCCAATGGACAATCAGTAGAGATACGTCGATGAAGGTTAGACATCCAGGTAATACGATACGCCAAAAGCAGTTACTCAAGCAACTGGATATGATTTTGGAAACGGTCAGAAGTTTCAGCTAGTAACTGAAAACGTCAGACGTTTCAGCTAGTACTAGCTGAAACGTCTGACGTTTTCAAAATCATATCCAGGTGCTTGAGTAACTGCTTTTGGCAAATCAGTAGAGATGAAAGATGTTGCAAGGAAACAGACTGAAGTAGACTTCATTGCCCTGAAGGGAGTGGTTCAGATTTACCTCCTAATAGATCATGGTTTTCAAAACAACAATTGGGGGAGGTTTTTTCTTTACTGCTAATTGATCAATTATCTTTATTTTCTTCTTCTCGATAGCTTTCAAGCAAAAATTTTCTCATCACTGTCAATAAAACATTTTGCCTCTAGGAAGCTGAAAGGAGCCCACATTGTGGAGTACTACGGCACGGCGTACAGGAGGGAGCGGCGTGGCCTGAGGCTGGGGCTGGTCATGGAGCTGTGTGACGGAACACTGGAGAGCAGGATCATTGGCAACAGGTGAGGCCATGAGGGTATAATGGAAGGAACTGAATCAGATTGGATTAAAAGGTTCAAGTTGGTTGCTAAGTATTAAACGTCTAACCCTCGGAAGACGGGGAACAACAGACGATAAACCGGACAGTGAGTGAGTGAGTGTAAACGAGTTGGGGAAAATCCATCTACAGTTAGCTGCATGTCAATAGTACAGTATAACTTATAAGTTATAAAGTAAAGGCATCATCACAGCTTACCGATAAGAAAATATTTAGTATCTACTTCACTCCTTCATGATCATGTCACACATCTTATTACCTTCCACAAGTAAGGTGATATGGTTTTGTGCCGTGTGTCTGTCCTCTGTGTGTGTGAGTACTATCGTTTTGTTGTTTTTTAAATATATGAGACAGTGCTAGATACAAAAAGGAAATATATATTCTTCATTTACTTAGTAAACTCATCTAGACTGCAGTTGATGAGTAAGAAATTTCACAATCTTGCTCATAGCCAAGCCAATATGTACTGAAATATTAAAATAAATTACAATTAGCATTCCTTTTTCCTTTGTATGCTACAGAGACCGTAACCCAGCCTGGTGGGGTTCTAACCCAGAGAAGAAGGCAGCAGCCTTCAGCTACACCCAGAACCTGGCAGTGCAGCTGTGTGAGGGACTCAAACACATCCATAAGGAAGGCTACATCCACAGGGACCTCAAACTCAGCAATATACTGGTATGTTATACAAAAAATTTCTTGTAATCTCAAACAATTCACCAGATAGTCAGGATTACTGTGATTAAGATTAGGCCATCATTAGATTAAATCTTTGATATACTTGACTTACTTGACTTAAGTATATACAGTATGACTTTGATATACAGTGTACATATAAAGTATCAATTGACTGCTACGTGTTGTTATGACTTCACTGGTGTCTGCTATGAGGGATAGGACATACACTGGAGTAACTTTTATCAAGTGTACCTCACTGGATTTACAATCCGGAGGCATGATGATGATGATGACTTCACCACTATGTAAGTCATATATTTTGTTTTTCCTCGTGTTTCTTCTCCTCCTTCTCCTCCTTCCCCTTCTCCTTCTCCTGCCATTTCTGTAAATTGCTTCAACTCCTTCATTTTAGGGCAAAATAACAAGAAAACCCTTAGGCTTTTTTTTTTCATTTTTGTGATACAGGCTTTTAGAATGGTTTTATTTGTATAATGAGCTTTTTGGCTATGTTATAGAAAATGTATTATTATAGCAGTAAGTTACCATATTTGGGCATGAGTCATCAGAATGGCATGCAGAGCAAGCAACCAATAGGCATGAAGCTTTCCTCTATTCTTCTTGCTGATCGGCTGTTTGGGATTCGATTGAGTTAACTCAATTAACACCTGTACAAAGTCATGCCATATTGAAAGTATTATTAAATGCATTCAGAAACTCTGGCACAATCAGTCGACCTAAAGCCCGGACTAACAGACTTAATAACTCGTTCCTTCATTGCGCTGTTCGTCTCTATAACAAGACAATCCAGAAGTAGTGTTATATATATTGTACCTGAGCTAAATTCTTCGTGATAACCGCATATTATGCATAGATTTTAATCGTGTAATTGTCTTCGAATATGTCTTAATATTGTGTTCGCCTATGTTGTTTCATGTTCATGTTTCATTGTTTTTAATGCTCTATATACTGTAATAAGGACGAAATTTGGGTATTCGCCCGCGAGAGCCTTACTGAATAAAATTTGATTTGATTTGATTCAAGTGTTTTGGTAGGTTTGTCAAGCTTTCCTGCTCCAGCATTGGAATGCGGGGCATAAACGCGTCTTTTTATCTTGAAAATCAACAGTTTGCTTCATGAAATTAAAAATCCTAATCAATAATGTAGGGGATAGCTATCCAACTGTTGTCACTTCATTATAGTTATATCAATGTAAAGAATTATTTTCCCTTGACAATGTGTTTCTCATTCTTTCCCTGCCATGTCGTAAAATGTGGTGAAGCCATCCGCTACATTTGCTCCAAAGCAAATGTCGGCCTTTGTAGTTTCACAAATAATTTACGAAGTAAACAAATATACAGTAGGGTAGGTAAATTTGCCAGACTGCTGTTTGAACAATGACTTACCACTTACCATTCTGCAATGACATGCAGGACACGGCGATTTGTATTTTACATTGAAAAATTAAGATTTACATGTACCTTAATGCACCAGGTGACCAGGGATGACACTGTGAAGCTTGCTGATGTTGGACTGACCAAACAAGAGATGAAAATCACAGGCACAGTAGCCGGAACCCCCCTCTATGCAGCCCCGGAGGTGAAGGAAAGGAAGGTTTACAACAGGAGTGCCGACATCTACAGCCTGGGCCTCATCCTGTGGGAGATGTGGTACGGGAGGGCCTTGTATGGGCTCCACACTGAGGTCAGTGAGACAGTGTGTATTACTATATATATACATTTACATGTATGTGTAGAATTAATTTTCTTACTTTCTTTTAAGTTACTGACAGTAGCAACTTTGAACTCCAAAGTAGGGGAGGCCAATTGGCACACAGAACATTTGTATAGTGTGCAATGACTTAAACATGTGTCATTGTTCATGATGCTCTTTTGTATACAACCGTAAGCCGAGCATTATTCTGGTCCCAAACCAGACCCCCCTGGTACCCAGGATATCTGTAGTCACTGGTAGATGACAATGCATGACCTGCAGTTTGGCTGGTACCTCAGGCGATATGGACATTGATATGACATTAATGTAGGATACTGGACAATGCATCAATAATTGTTTAATAATAACCTCAATGGGGGCTTCCTTGTTGTTTTGTCAGGATGCTGCTTATGCCAAACAGATGGAAGAAGACTTGAAGAAAGGGAAGGACATCAGGATGCCACGATGGCGAGATACAGTCCCCCCCATCCGTGAGTGGACCAGGCTGATCCACGACTGTCTCAGGTTGGATCCAAAGGAACGACCAGAGATACAGGACTGTCTGGACAGGATTAAAGCTATGAAGGTAGAAAAAAATGGAATCCAGTTATATTTAGTCTGTCTTTAACTGTTTTCCAGCTGGTTTGAAAGTGGTATACGATTTCTTTTCCTGGTGGCTCAGTGGAAGGATCCTGCAAAAATTGTGTAAGCCCACAATTTGCATGATATTTCAATTCTCAAGAAAAAACTTTAAAATGCGAAGCTTTGAAACAAGAACAAAAATAGCCAAAGGTTAAAATTGTATTTCTCACTTTCTCACTAAAATTGTATCTCTCAGATTAACTTTAGCTTTCCCTCACACTCTCCACATGACATTGTCAAAAACTGTTAATGGAACTTCCCAAATTTTACAAACTTGGTTGATTTTGCATCAAAAATATAAAATATTGTCTTTTACAAAATCAACCGGCGTCTGCTGTTAAGTCCCCCTTTACTCGCAGGTTGAATTATTTATAGTAATTGTTTGTTTGCTAGGTTGTCAAGAATTAACATTCAGCATGTAAATGTATCATTTAATGATTATAAAGTTATAACAATTACTGTTATAACAATTACAGGGTTACCCTGTACTAATCATATTGCAACATTATTGTTTACACAGGTCACCAACATACATGTATGTGTAGCAATGGCAGAGACAGTATTAGACCTCCCCACAGAGGAGGAGATAGACCAGATGAAGCTGGGTAAGCTAACCCGGTTTCTCCGGAAAGAGTTTGGCATGACTGAGGAGGAAATTGATGACCTGGAAACAGAGGAGGCGAGGACAGAAGTGAAGAAGAGGATCAGGGACATCTGGGCAGCAGCAGCTACAAGAAGACGTCCTGGTCAGGTGAGCAAATCTAACAGCGGCTGCCAGTACTTGGTGACATTTTATTTTCAGGCACTTTCAGTTGCATTTTTGTTAGTGACTTTAGAAATAGGGTAACAATATCATAATATCATCATCATAGCAGGGTAGCATCTTCCCTTTTTTGGAGGAACCCCTCCCTTGACATAAGTTTTAAAATGAATTTACATAAATTTTGGCTTGCTTTAAATTTACAAACCTAGATGCAGGTAAACTTTCAAAATCAATGAGAGACATTTTACATTTGTTCTTACAGGATTTGAATCTGATTTTACATTTACTGAGAAAGTGCTAGGATCTTACCCTAAGTTTTAGCCAATGGTATGTAGGACATTCATGATGTACAATGTAAGTCATTTGGTAGAAAACATCATGAAAAATAATAAAAAACATACATGATTGTAGATGACAAAGTGTGCAGCATCACTATTATACATAATTTTATATAGTATTACATAATACATAAGTCATGTAAGTTCATTCATTGAATGATAGAATTTCTGTTTTTAGTTAAGAACTGTACAAATGTATGTTCTGGTGGAAAGTGAATGAATGGAACTCTGACAGGTAAACATTTCTAAATGTAGGCTGCAGAAAGCCTGCGGGAAATCCTTGAGGCACACAACTCAAAACGAGAACACCTGGCAGAGTTGTGCCACAACATTGCAGCCTTCCTTCCCAGTCTGGACAGAAGTACCAAGGAAAACTTGAATATACAATTTGGTTGTGAGGTGGAAGACATCCTAACAGACGTGCAGACACAGTTACACAGAGAAGAGTGTCCCATTCTTGTAGCAGGTTAGTCTGTAATAACACAACCTTATCACATCAGTTTCACTGTACATGTTTGAATACTCAAATTATATTAAATCTTTTTTAAATTAACAAATTTGCATGAATATGTACTATGTTCAGGAGAAACATCCTCAGGAAAGAGCACCTTCCTGAACGTGCTGCTGGGAGGTGACATCCTGCCTGTGTCCCACCTCAGCAGCACTTCCACCATCTGTGAGGTCAAGTATGGAGAAACTCGACAGGCTGTGGTCCATCTGCGCAAGTCAGGAATCATTGGCAAAATTACGGGACTAAAGACAGTCACCATCCCACTGGACGGCACAAAGGAGCGTCAGGATGAACTGAAAAGCTACATGCATCTGGAAGGAGCCAGTCGAGATCAACTTCCTCCAGCTAAGAGGGTCGAGATCTTCTGGCCTCTTCCTCTTCTTCAAGTAAGGCTAAATTTATAGATAAGCTAGCTCGCAACTTGATTAGGATAGTGTTTAAACTTTCAATCTCAGGAAAGCCCTGCTGAAAAATTACTGCAGCTACAGCTTATTAGATTGATAAGATGAATTTCTTTATTGGATATTGAATCTGTCAGACCATCATTCAAAATGATACCAGTTACAGGAAAAGCCCAGTACTATCGTGAGTAGAGGTTGAAAAATTGAAGCACCTTATGGTACATCGATTGTAATTTAATTTATAGCTGTCCTACAGGTATATTCTAGGTATTACTGACTAAGTTCTGTTCAAATAACTAATAGTATACAAGAATTGTTATTACCTTAATCAGTTTTCTAGCCTACATTTGTCAACAAGATATTTTGAATGATAGTCTGTTGACACATTCTGACAAATAGCTAAAAGAATAATTGTACTTTCAGGGAGGAATAGTCCTAGTGGACAGTCCCGGTGTGGGAGAAAGTGAGATGATGGATGACCTTGTTGCTGACTACATGCCCAAAGTTTTTGCCTTCCTGTACATCATTGACAGCTCCAGGGCAGGGGGAGTGCAACAGGACAGGGTACAGACTTAGCTTCTTGGAACAAGTCCTATGTATGAATTACAATTTTGCATCAATGTACACTTGTCCAAGTATCTCTCTAAATTACTTCCCTCAAGCCAATCCCAGCAACAAAAACTCTGTTCTGGGCTTCTCTCTAGGTGCTATCCCATGGCCATGTGTGGCTGGAATTCTCCAGCTCTTTACTTGCCACTGTTCTTCAGCCCGTGAGATAACTAACATAAAATCAATTTTACACCAGTACGTCTTTTTCAGGAGCATTGTACATGTTTATTGTGTATCAAAACCAGGATAGTGAGTGAGTGAGTGAGTGAGTGAGTGAATTATAATAACTTCACATTTTTGTAATCATTCCATGACACATTTCAGTTGGGACGACTTCTACAGCTGTATGCAAAAAAAGAAAAAGCTGAAGATTTCAACCCAGAATCAGCCATGTTCATCTGCAACAAGTGGGACACTGTGAAACCTAAGGATCAAGAGGAAGTGAAGAGTGAGACACTCAGGAAGCTGTCAGCGATGTGGCATGGTCTGGGGGAGTCACAGGTCTTCTTTGTGTCAACAGAAAAGGTAAGTAAAGCTTGCAGATGTGTCACGAGAGGAACAAGACTATGTGAAGAGTGAAACACTCAGGAAGCTGTCAGAAATGTGGCCTGGTCTGGAGGAGTCACAGGTGTTCTTTGTGTCAACAGAAAAGGCAAGCATAGCTTACAGGTTCAAACATCGATCTGTGAGTCTTATGAAATTTGGACAAAAATTAGAAAATCATGGTTTGAACTTACTATCATTGCTACAGGCAGTAGGACCATTTGGGATTCTGTCAGAAGACTTCAGCAAAGTTCTGGATGGTCTGGACTTGCTGCTGCCAAAGAGTCTTGACATCAAACTGGAAACTCAGTACAGGTAGGAGAAATTTTAAAGATGTGCTCTTACTATATAAGGCAATTTTAGATTATGTTCACAAAAGTCATGTATTTATAAAATGCATAATGCTTTAGACTGTCTTCCAAGATTTAAAAGAGCCCAAGAATTTTACTTAATGCCAAAATGTTCATTAGACTTTTACAGACTTAATGAAATGTGCATTAATTCACACTGCCCCAAACCTTAGCCCAGGAAATAAGACTAATAGTAATATGCATGATAAGTTCCAAAGTGAAAGTCATAATCATGGGATTCAACACGTCAAACTTTTGCCTGGTCTAACAAATCAAACTTCTTGTCATTCATATTTTTCAGGATACTTACTCGGCTTACTGCAGCTCTGTATGAACAAAGTAGGGACATCAACAGCTTCCTGGGCCAGCTGGCAATGTTCCACCTGACTGAGATGAGAAAGTATGAGTTTGAGCTGGACAGCATCATAGGTTGGACAGACACATGGATAGGAGGCGGGGGCTTTGGTGAAGTGTACCAAGTTCAAGTCCTATGGAAGGGAGCAGAGACTCCTGCAGCACTCCTGAAGATTGGATCTGGAGTCTATCCATATGACATCATAACAACAGAAACTGCCTGGGAATACCTGCAGGAGGAAGAAATCCTACGGTAAACAACTCACTTAAGATATCAAGGTCTACCCATTGGAGATACAATACATTCTGTAAACTGTACTGAATTTTGAAAAGTGTGTTGTCACTGACAGAAACCTGTCTATCCCCAGGAAGCTGAAGGGAGATCACATTGTGAAGTACTACGGCACAGCGTACAGGAAAGAGGATGATGAGCTGAGACTGGGGCTGGTCATGGAGCTGTGTGAGGGAACACTGGCGGACAGGATCGTTGGACAGAGGTACATGTAAGGCTTGGATATTGTGAATAATTGACTTAAAAGAGTTATGCATCTGTACAGGATTGCCAGTATAACCACCATTTGGCACACACCATGGCCAAGGGTAGTACATTAACTTAATGAAAGCATCACTCCTTCCTACAGTTATACAAATATTTGTATTTCCACATCTTCATAGGAACAGGAACAGAAACAATTAAAGAATCTTTAATTGAATCAACAACTCCATGCATTATTCATCAAAAATGTACATGTATGTGCAAATTTGTACTGTATTACACTACATTGTGTTTGGAGGGCAAGTAGTAAAGTTTGTCCCTCCTTTGGCTTTGTGGAGAATTGATAAATACAAAGTTACATGTAAACTGAATTCTTTCACCCATTGATGTATAAAAGAATGATTATTGTGCATCACAGGGACCGTAACCCAGCCTGGTGGAAACATAACCCAGAGAAGAAGGCAGCAGCCTTCAGCTACACCCAGAACCTGGCAGTGCAGCTGTGTGAGGGACTCAAGACTATCCATGATGCAGGGTACATCCATAGAGATCTCAAACTTATCAATATTCTGGTACATGTACTATGTTATATATTTTGCACTAGTATCTTATGACCTCAAAGAGTTCACCAACCATCATTATTGATATAGTGGACATACATGTACATGTATACGTCTAAATGGAGTACGTAAAGCTAACACATTTTAGTACTTCATCCCACATATTGGTTGTATATTAATTTAATTGTTTATGGTATGTGTCTCACCTACAAGTAATTTGCTCAATATGTAAGAAGTGAGCTCCTGTACAACAAACTGTATATGTACATGTAGTTTTATTGTTGAAAAACATTTTCAACCTAAGCATGTTCACATTAGATAAGTTGACATGGGTAACTCCCATAAGAAGAGTCAAACTAAATTGGCAAGGTGGTCATCTGGTTAAGTTGTTGACTAAGAGTCTGAAAGAACTTTGAATCTGTCTGGTCTTACGCAGCATGTATTATTGTACAAAACTGATGTTAAGCCTTAAGCTGGTTCACCTGTTATAGAAAAACAATGGCTCAGGAGAGCCATGTTTGTAAACTTTAGGTTGAATAATTTATTTGATATCTTCACCAGGTGACCAAGGAGGACACAGTGAAGCTTGCTGATGTTGGACAGACCAAAAGAGAGGTAAAAGTCACAGGCACCATAGCTGGGACCCCCCTCTATGCTGCACCAGAAGTAAAGGAAAGGAAGGTCTATGACAGGAGTGCCGACATCTACAGCCTGGGCCTCATCCTGTGGGAGATGTGGTATGGCATAACCTTGTATGGGACGGGAGAAAAAGTAAAGGTAATGTTGGACATCAAAGCTCAATGTTTTCTTTTGAAAAGTTGCTACTCCTGATATGTGCCTACTACTGAAAATAGGCCATATGTTTGAGGACACCTTTAAGAATGTTAGATATATCTTAACATCAACAAGAAATCTGGGATTCCAAACTTCTGGGAAGTAGTTGCACTGACTAGCATTTGTACCATTCTCCATTCCCTACAGCTTACATGTAGAATGTGTATACTGGCCTTAGTCCTATACTGAGTTTATGGATTTGCTTCTTTCTAACAGCCTAATACGATACCAACAATGCCACACCACTTTCAGCATGGGGATGTCAAATTATTTTACTGCATTATTTTAAACCTGTTGTTGGAATCTCCTGTCGATACGACAGATGAGTAAGCCTAGACTGTACTGCTAAAATGCCTGAAATTGCCATGGCCTTACACAGCTTGCATGTTTTTTTGCACAATCATTTCAGAATCTGTATATAAATTCATTTTCATCCCATGATTCTGGTGAGATTACAATGCAGTAACTTTTGTTTTTATTTTTGAAAGGATCAGGCTGTGCAAACTTACATGTATGTAACAGAGATGAACAAGGACTTGGAGAAAGGGAGGGACATCAGAATGCCACATTGGCGAGGTACAGTCCCCCCCACCCGTGAGTGGACCAGGCTGATCCATGACTGTCTCAAGAAGGATCCAAGGAAACGACCAGAGATACAGGAGTGTTTGCAAAGGATCTCAGATATGCGTACTGTACTTCATCAGGTTTGGTAGTGACTCGAGTATGTTGTTAGCAGTAATGAAATAATTTTAGCTAGTTTTGTCCGAGAATTGCAAACTATGTAAAGTAGTGATTCCGTTTTGTGAGAACTGGTTGAATTTGCATCTTTCTTACTACATGTAAACATGTAGGCTAGCTTTAAAATTTGATGTTATCGTAGAAGATAGCTTTCCAAGAATTTTATAAAATCAACACATCCATCAAGCCATGAAAAGGATTGATAAGGTAATAATATCTTGTGTATCTTTTGCACTATGTGAAACAGTGTGGCATGTTGTGCTTATTATAGATAAACCTGTACCTGGCTGATACTTCAGCATTCTTTGTGAAAAAAATTTGTTTGATAGTCATTTGCGTGCTAGTACTTGGTTAAAGATGTAATATAGTGTGATCAGATCTAGTATAATATTCAGATCAAAGGGGCAGCTACAGCTGCCATTTTTCTGTGAAAAGTGTGATGTTGGCAAATTTACAACTGACTTACAAATGTCAACACATGTACAAGACACCAAAATCATGTTCAACAATGGTTTTATTCCTGCTTCCATGATAGAAATATTCACTAACAAGGTACAATGGGATGCATACATGTATGTCAAATCTAGTGTTATTATGAGAGAGGAACAAGATGTATAGACCAGAATTTGTGAGTTTGTCAACAATGCTATATAATATGTCAAGTATTTGACGATATCAAATCATGAACCTGCTGTGTCAAAATCTTGAAGTTCTTGCCTTTTATTGAATATGTTCACACATAATACACCAAATTCATCTTCATGAAAACTCAGATATCCAGCTGCTACAGATTTGTAATGGAACAAGGCATCATTTGATGTATAAGTCAAGTTACTTTAATTTATAAAGTGAGAGAAGTGTAAAGTCATTATCATTGCAAAATACAGAACATTTCATTGATATCTTAGATTATTGTCATCATTATTTCTGTAACATGTATAACTGTCCACCGTTACCAGTCCTTACCGCCCAATTATTGCAATGGCAAAGCTCAATAATCTTGAACTCCCTCTCTGATCGATAGTGTTCTGCGACTTAAATAGGCCATTCACTGCAAAATAGTGAAGAGTTTGGTGTCTGACGCGTTTGATTCGGAAAGTGCGAACTCTGCTCTATCATTCAAGGTCAAAATCTGACATATTCTTCATTTTACTTTAAAGCGACGAACCTAAAACGCGACCCCATGCTGTTTTCCCAGGGGACCCGATGACGTCACTGCGTGACGTCTTCGATACCAACGGTTAAGAACGTTTTCTGCAAGTATGCGGCACCGAAACCACGAAAAGAACACATATATCCATAGCCAAGGTATCCGAGCAGATTTTTCTTGTTTTGGGAAATGCGATGTCTGTAAAAAAAAACGCTAGTTTTCTAATTGCTCCATTGTGACGCTGCCTGGAACCCAAGCTTGGCAATATAGCCTTAGAACACTGCATTTTCCCATGACTTTAAACCTCTGGCGCAGGAAAAGTACTCATCGCAGACAGGTGATATATGGTAGTAATGTAAAGATAATTTTTTATGCAAAATAATCTTAAGGTTCCTGGTTGTCACGCTAAGTTTGGCTCCCCATTGCTCAGCGATCGTTTAAGATTTTCCATTAGTTTTTGAATTAATCAACCTTAACTTTGCATTGAAGTGTTTTTCAGCGTGGTCAAGCTGGTCGGCCAGTGAAGCGTTATTGGTATTAGTCCGCGAGCAAGGGTGATGCGGTTTGTCGCCTGATGACCCAAATAGCTGCGTTCTATGTGGAATTTCAAGGCATTTGTATCATCAAAGATTGCAAAAAAGTTATCGGAATGACCTATATTTTTATTTTTTTATTTTTCAGAAACACGAAGTACATGTAGTAAGCTATTTCAGCCGTTTTCCTGGGAAAATGTTTTTTTCCAGGCAGCTCTGATGAAAAGAGTGTAAAAACATTATATTTTCTGGTCCAAAATTTACATTTTATAACGGTTTCTATCAAAATTAATGAGGCAGCAGACAATATCCAAACTAATGTGGGAAGCCAGCTGCGAACAGCTGTTCACTAACATTATGATATTTTCCAGCCTGGTAACAAATGATGTTAACTTTCTTTTTAACGTAACATGATATGATAATAGCACTACATTTTGGAAAGCCAAGTACATTGTACATCAAAGAGGTAATAAAATATCTAAGAAACTGGCTATAATCTGTATAGCCGATATAACTGCCCTTAATTTTTTATGTGGCATAACACACCAGCTTTACAGGCACACAATACGACAGCAGTTCGTTATATTACACTGAACAATCTGTCACACCTACATGTAGCCTTTTTGCTCATCTAGCTGCATTTAAAGCTATCTAGTGATTATGCTTAACTGTACTTGGTGGCAATGAGTTCAATTCTATGGTAGAAAAAATGGTAGAAAAACAAAATTCATTAGTCATTCTAAGAAAAAATGAACTTCACTTTCTATGAAATTGATGCCACATGCATAACTAGAGTTCCCCGATCTCATACCTTCGCCAAATGATGTTAATCTTTATGACTGACAAATATAGATTAGATTATTCCCCCCTGATTTAAGAAATAGGAACCTAATTTTCATGAATTATATCATTTTATCATAATCTCAACCAAAAGACAGTCTTATATTAGCAAACAATGCATTCTAGCATTTCCTAATAAATTATGCAAATGAGGTCCTGATTTGAATAAATTATGTTTAATGATGTTCACCTCAATTTAACTTTCAAATACCACAAGTATGAAATTCCAGGCAGTTATCATCACATAATTATAAAATTTTCTCATTAATTATGCAAATTAAGTCATTATTAAAATAATCAATATCTTCCCGTGTTTCTCTCCTTGTCAATTACCAATGTCACAAGCTTCAATTGTCCTATCATGGAATGCAGATGATTTATAGAATTTCCCGATAAATTATGCAAATTATATCCATATTTGCATAATTGTCACATAATTATATCAAGCATCACGTAAGCTACCTACATATCAAAAACCACGACGATCCGTCAACTGGTTCTTGAGTTATCCCCTTTTGAATATTTTCAAGAATATATCCCTGCAGTTCCAGAGCAAGCCGCTAGGGGGCCTAAACTCACGTCACTTCTTCCCCAGCACAAGAGCTACCTACCATCCAAATTTCATCACCATAGCATGTCTAGATCATGAGATATCAAAACCGGAAGTTCAGCTGCAGTACCATAACAAGCCGCTAGGGGGTCCAAAATCTAATCATTTTGAGGTCTCATCAAGACCTACCTACCTACCAAGTATCAAGACAATCCATCAAGGCCTTCTCAAGTTATCGTGTTTACAGACAGACACACACACACACACACACACACACACACACACACACACACACACTAACGCCCCTGAAAACATAACCTTCTTGGCGAAGGTAAAAAGACTGACATTATGTTGACTGACATTATTATTTTACATGTACAATGTATGTACCCTGAATTACACCCTCCCACCATAATGACCTTTGTCAATGATTATTGTACTAAAGCCTCTTGTGCAAATTGTTTGCTTGACACTTAAAACATGCATGACTATCATGTGACAGAATGTACAAATACCCCTGCAGACCTTATGTCAGGACTTGAAATTACTGAACACCTTCATGTACAATGATGCAGGTATCAGTTCAAATTTTACTACAGTAACTGTAACACCAGACAAATTTTATACCCTAACCACTCTGTTGGAAAATGGTTTTAAGAAGCATGGATCAAACTGGAAGCTGTTAAGAAACCATAATGCAATTGTTTATTCATTGCAATTGTTGACATTGCATTTCAAAGGTGGTAATAATCAATGAGGATAGGTCTAATTACAGGTAACAATCAATACAGAAAATAAAAGTCCACATACACTTAATATATGATGATCATAGGATGAGTACCAGGCCATGGACCAGTGCAGGTTAGGTGCAGGTATGCATCAGGAATACCTGCACTGCTGGAATTGTACCTGCACTAGCCTGCATATACAGGTGGTACAATTTCCAGCCCTGCCTAATACGTAATTAGGAAGAAACCATTTTGTGATTTAATTTACATGTGTGACCGTGAAATAAGTTTTTTTAACGTTGATGAACCAGCAGCCCCAACTCTAAACTGTTTCTTTTGATTCCAAACATAGTAATCTTGACTAATTATAATAAAAAGCGAATGTTTGAGTTAATGTTAAAAGATAACCACCCCACCCATTCACTGCTGCTGTGGTGTTGTCTGAACTTAGAACCTAGAAATTTTTCTTAGTCATCATCCAAGAAAGCATCATCTAAAGGTTCCTCTGGTTAAACTGGGCTCAGTTTGCTGCTCAACACAATCATGTAGGCAAGATCTTAACTGGGAACCGTGCTGTAGGTGAGTAGATCTACAGTTTGTTGTTACAGTTACTGTTACAGTCTATGGAACTTTGTACCTGCATTCATACGTACATATAGCATTAGTGGAAATTGTTGCATCTCGATCACTCGGTTCTGACTTGAATTAGACAAAATGTTAATGTAAGGTAATCTTCAATGGATGCTAAAAAATCAATCAATCGTGGCACTTTCAGCTCAATAATGGTTGTGGTGTTGTAGGAATTCAGACATGGAAGGGATAATAGTAAGAATAAAAACATGACTAAGTCAAAGTGCAATGTACAGAATGTTGCCAGTTGTGTACCGCCATATTTGCCAATAGTACCACTGTCACAAAAATCTGTGTCTAAGGTGGGCCTTTAGCTTAAGGCCCAGGCCATACCAATTTGATTTGTTCGTTCTTAGTGAGTGCACTCAGTTTTATGGTCAGGAGTGAATACAGTTCAAGTTTTCCTGTCTTTTATGATGTCTGCTTGCTATCTTCACCTTGATATGTTCAAGAACCAAGAAAATAAATTACTGTGGCCTAGAGAGCAGTAAACACTGAGTCTTGTGTTAATTCTTAGTGGCAAAAGTCAGCTGACCTGGTCTTGGCACATTGGCAGCACTGGGCAAATCTGTGTCTGTCCTATATGCAGGACACATATAGCCAAGAGGCCTTGTGCTCCACCGTACATTTAGACCTGTAAAGCCTGAATTCATTTTTTAACAATTCACCCTGACTTACATGTACAGTAACTAAAGCTATGATTCCATAATTCTGGTGAGTTTGATTGGACATAAAAACTTTAAGTTCATCATCATCATCTTTGATACTGCTTAGCCTTCTAAAGAGAAGATTACTAGCGGCTGCGCATTAATACTGTGTGCAAAGTGCAAACAAAGGGTAGGGTAGGGGTGGACATGGACAAGTGCAAGGACAGGACAAGTGAAGTCAGTGGTGCTAGTGTTACACGTATTTACATATGTACAAGGACCGGGAAGCAGCTCAATGCAGCGAAGCCCGTCCCAGCTCAGCTTTGAACTGGGAGATGGACTTCGCCTCCGCCACACTACTGGGCTCAAGTTCATTCCACTCCTTGATGGTGCGAGGGAAGAACGAGAGCCTGTAATAGTTGTTCTTACTCGCGATGGTCTGCAGCTTTAAAGCGTGATTAGTGCGGCGGGAGCATCGAGCTGCCGGGACAAGACACGAGGTGTGGGGGACAGAAATGGTGTTGTGCAGGACTTTGAACATTGTGGTCAGTCTAGCCATTTTGCGGCGGTGTTCAAGTGACTGCCATCTCAGGTTACCTAGCATCTCTGTTACTGAGGCCGTGCGTCTGTAGTTGTTGTATACATACCTGGCAGCTCTAAGTTATAATTATAATTAATGCATGTTGAATGTTCTGACTTCAATTGTTGAAGTCAGTCACTGTAGTAAACACTGATTCGGAAGACATCTTCACACCAAACATATTTGCCCAATAATATGCATTATGAAAGTCAAATGTCGTGACATTTTGTATGGGGGTTACTTTAAAGCTTTCTCACTAGAATTATCATCAAATAACATTTAACTTTGAACATTCATCATTTGAATCTATCATTTGTGCACAATTGCAACTTACTTTAATTTATAACAAATAAGATCTGAAATTTCCACAGGTCAGCAACATACATCTGGGCCATTATTATAGTCATCATATCAGTAATGGCGGCAAAGGCAGCCCTCCCCACAGAGGAGGAGGTGGACAAGATGAAGTTGGTTAAGTTAACCAGGCTTCTCGAAGACCTTGGCATGACCGAGGATGAAATCGGAGACATGGGAAAAGAGGAAGCAAAGGCAGAAGTGAAGAAGAGGATCAGGGACAGACAGGAAATAGCAGCAACAAGCAGACGTCCTGGTCAGGTGAGCAAATCAACCCTAACTCTGCTGGAGATAAATTCTGTATGTAGATAATAAGGCCATGTTGATTTGATTATATGGATAACATCATCCGGGAACCCCAAAATTGATGCGCGCGTGCGAATAAAAAAAAAGTTGTTTTCATTATGAAATCTACGTGGTCATGAGGGTTGACCAAATATGGTTTGGCGAATAATCTAGTCTTCAAGTTCATTTCTTTACAATTTCGTCTTTTTTCGTTTGATTTTGGCATTCTACGACATTGGTATGGTTTTCTGTAACTTACGGTATATTTTTGCGCATTTTGCAACAGTACTGTTTTGTACGATTTACAGTATGGTTGAAAACTTTTTTTTTTTGAAACGGCCGAAAATTCATGCGCGCGCGGATGTCATCCATATAATCAAATCAACATGGCCTAAATTAGATATACTGTAATTCCACAGGGCCTAATTAAAACAAGTGCTGTTGAAAAAGCTGTCACTTTGGCCAGGTTTTCATTCATGAAAAGTTTTCTCCACATTATAACTGATTCGAAGTAAAATCTGCTGATCAGTACGTACATGTACATTGTAAGTAATGTTACCCTGAATGTTTCAATTGTTCTGTCCCCATAGCAGTATAAATTTTTAATGTTTGAAGTAATGTTATTAATGATGGAATTCAAAGTACATTGAATTGTCTTAAAAAATAGAGACAATTTCTTTGGACAAACCAATGAATAGACAAACTACATACATTGTACATGTACCAAAATGCAATGAATCTTTAAAATCTAGAAAGGATCTTTATTGACAGCTGTGAACATAGTATATTACAACCTACAATTTTCTGTGGAGGTCTCTGAGCTCTTTACGAATGGTAACAAGCCTGGAGCATGGTTCCCTGATCATGAATTTCTGAGAAGAACCTCAAGTCTTGCTGTCACTTTAAAATTATCATGATGGTAAATTGGAAGTGAAACCTTTAGAAATGAATCTCCCTGTATTTTGCTTCATTAGGCTGCAGAAAACATGAGGGAAATCTTGGAAGCGCACAACTCAAAACGAGAACACTTGGCAAAGTCGTGCCACCCCATTATTGTCTACCTTCCCAAACTGGACGAGAGCATCAAGAACATTCTGAAGATTCAGTTTGTTCACGAGGTGGAAGACATCTCAAAAAAAGTACACAGCCACTTAGACAAGGAGGAATGTCGTCTTCTTGTAGCAGGTGTGTTAAATTATGGATTACATTTACGCCAGCATATTGTAATTCATGTTCATGGTTACGTAGCAAATGTAGGCAGTCTGGGAAAAATGGCAGTCACGGTTCATTAAAAAAAATTATGTTCACAATGGCAGCATGTAGAAAAAGAAAGTCAATGAGAAAACCACAAACATAAAAGTACCGTGAAATACAGCATATTTCAGTCCATTTAATCTATCCCCATCAGAAAATGGACCATATCATTTTTTTTATACAGGCTTTTAAAATTGCTTTTATTTGTTTTGTTTTTTTGCCATTTTCAGGTAAAAATGTACATTTTGGGATCTGGAGCCCCCTGGTATTAAATCCGAATGACCTGAAATTCGGTATAGGGATACCTTGTTGGAAATGTCCTTTAAAGATGACGATTTTCATTTTATAAATATGGTAAATATTTTGTGGGAGGTATGCTCACCCATCATTATTGAATCACAAAAAGCGAAATCAATGTTTATTTGAAAACTGTAATCTTCAGGAGAAACATCAGCTGGAAAGAGCACCTTCCTGAACCTGCTGTTGGGAAAGGAAATCCTGCCTGTGGCGCTTGAAAGTTCCACCTCCACTGTCTGTGAGGTCAAGTATGGGGCGACCGAACAAGCTGTGGTCCATCTGAGGGAGCCCACAGATCAAGGGCAAAGGCAGATCAGCATCCCACTGGATGGACCTGATCATGAAGAGCGTCGGAAGGAGCTGAAAGGCTACATACATGTAGAGGGAGCCGACCGAGACAGCCTTAAGCTTCCTCCTGCCGAGAAGATTGAGATCTTCTGGCCTCTTCCTCTTCTTCAAGTAAGACAGTTAGACTGGAAAATTTCATGATGTTCAGCATATTCAGTATTCTTAGATTATCATCATCAATAGTTGAAAGAGGTCAGTTTTTACACTTAAAGTCTAATATTGTTGCTGATGTAAGAAACAGAGGCAAGCGGTAGAAACAGAATGATAAAAACCGACTGGTCCCGGGCTGGGGTTCGAACCCATGACCAAACCCGGGCACCAGTCCACAGGCAGACACTCTAACCCATCAGCCGGGTCAGTTGGTAGCCCCCCTATTAGCCCCCCACTGTTACACTGATGTTGAAGTTGCAGAGTGTTCAACTTGTTATTTTCAATCTAGAGTCTGCTTCAGCTCTCTTAAGACTCAATGGCACTGTCTTAAGTATACTAAGCAGCACTCAAATATGTTGCAGTAAACTGAGCTTTTACATAAACACAATATAGCAGGTCGCTATCTTGCTTTCAGGGAGGAATAGTCCTAGTGGACAGTCCAGGAGTGGGAGAAAGTGAGATGCTGAACAAAGTTGTTGCTGACTACATGCCAAAAGTCTTCGCCTTCCTGTACATCATTGACATCTACAGGGCAGGGGGAGTGCAGCAGGACAGGGTAAGTCATGATCACCTGACCTAACATTTTAGAATGTTGTATAGTACCTTTTTCAGTGTGTGCCAGGGTCTCAGATTTCGCAACCTGTTATCCTGTGACCTTAAACAAATCCACGCTAAGGCCACCGTGTCAACTGTGACCCTCACTCAGGTGTAGGGACTGACAAGTATCAGCTTCTTACTACGTCACACTAAATTTTATACATGAATCTGCGGTCCCGGGGAGGTGGTCCCTGCGAAACGTTGGACGCTTCCTAGACTTAGGCTTAGATGTCGATCCAAAGATCTCCTCAAGTTGTTGGCTCGTTCCGCAAGTCTCGGACTGTAGGAGCTTCGGTGTCACTTGCCTCGGACCAGAGAGACCTGTGGTGTGGGGCCAGGATATCCTTTCACGGGCAACTTGCAAACCTTGCAGGACTTTTGTTTCGTCATCTCTGCGAGGAGAAATTTCGAAGAGAAAAATAAGAGAAGCGGAACCAGAGACGTCCGCGCAAGCCCCGAAGTGGGCGAATGTGAGCGCCAGGCCACAGACGATGGGGCGGAGTTAGCGAGTTAGCCCGGTATTGCTAATTAACAAAAATGACAAATGATAAAATAATTTTTCAAATTGATTATGCAAAAGAGATCCTTATTTGGATGAATTATATTAAGTTGATCATATTATTCTCCACCCAGTGGCTGTGAGTCTTATCTGAACAAGGAACGGGAAGAGTAAGGCTTTTGGGATGTAGTCGGCAATTGTCATTTAAATGTCTCTTTTATTCCACTTTGACTTTGTAGTTGGGAAAGCTTCTCAAGCTGTATACAAAACAGGAGAACACTGAGGACTTTAACCCAGAATCAGCCATGTTCATCTGCAACAAGTGGGACCTTGTGCTTGCTGAGGTCTCGCCAGAGGAGCAGGACAAGCTCAAGGCAAACACATTCAGGAAGCTGTCACAGATGTGGCCTGGTCTGAAGGAGACACAGGTGTTCTTTGTGTCAACAAAAAAGGTAAGTCAGGTTAGATTTGAGAGTGATCCAGGTTCTGTTGTAGGTGGTCACAAAATGGCTGAGTAGTAGCCGTTAGCACTAAGGCCTGCAATGTTCCTTGTACCTTACTTTAAGCAGCCAACTTGTCTCTATACCCATACAGTAGGGTATAAATATGTAAATGTTTGATAGCCACTAAAATACATTCATGTAATAATTTAATTGTTTAATATACAGGCTTTGAGGCTAGGAGGGATTCTGTCTGAAGACTTCAGCAAAGTTCTGGATGGTCTGGACTTGCTGCTGCAGAAGAGTCTGGACATCAAACTGGACACTCAGTACAGGTTGGAATACAAAAATTGTAGAATATGTCAATTAATGCATAATGCTGAACATTCTTTAAAACTCTAGACCCACAATGTGCACCAATTCTCACTTTGAAACTCTTACCTCAATAAATAAGTATGCAAATCTGCTGCGCAAACCCAAATATACAAACAGATCGGGACAGAGAACATTTAACTAAATTAAATATATAGAGCAGCAGCAGCTTATAACTTGTTAAATGATGAAACCAAACAAGCAACCTCATTAAATGCCCTTAAGAGAGCACTAAATGCATGACATCTGACCTCATGGACTGACTTATCTTTCGACTGGAATGACATGGACTATGATTATGCCTTATGATTTTGACTATTTGTTTTAGTTGACATGTCCTGTTTCCAATGATTGACTACTTGTACTCTTTGTTCACTAAATACCCTTAGAATTGATTGTCTACATGTATGTCCTTTGTAACTTGTTCTGTCTTGTGTTTGGCTACTTTGGAAATCAGTTGTCCTAAAATGAAGGTACCTGTGACCCAACCGTTTTTAAGATCAATAAATAAATAAATAAAGAAGTAACATCATGAGAGATCATAGGGATAATTACCCAACTTGACCCAATTGTAAGAAAACTATATGTTTGTGTCTCATAAATATTTCAGGTGGCTGACTCGACTTTTGAGGGTGGCTCTGCTTAATATTAATGTGCAGCTGAACTTTGCCCGTCAAAACTTGGACAAAGAGTCTAAAATGAAAAAGTACCAAGAGGTAAAGAATTATCTCCAATCATTTCAAGACAAAGCAATCCAGGGCATTGAGAAATTGGAAAGTATGTTGGGGAACAACATCAAATCCACAAAGGATTTCCTGTCTAACCTGGTGAAGAATGGTCAGCTGAAAAAAGATGTGATGGCAGTAGAAAACCTCCCAGTGATAGTGTCTTGGGTGATCCCGTCAGGAAGGAAGGTGAAGCATCAAGAAGTCTTAGCCAAGCTGGTCCATGAAATGAGAGGTGAGGATTTCTCAAGGCTGCAAGCTCTCTTCGAAGCCCTGGGAGACACTCTGGCTCATTGTCCCTCCTTTGAGAGTTTCATAACTCATCAGGAAACATCCTTTAAAGAGGAATTGAATAAAGCAGTTAAATCCATTGAGAATGCCCAACAGGAAGCAATGGCATTTATCACAGGTCGCTCCTACTCAGTGCCTCGCATGGATGTCACACGTGATGCTCTTTTCCAAACCCCACTTCCTGATCGGGTTTTTGACACATTCTTAAGAGGCGTTACGTCTAAATCCTTGCACTGGCCAGGAAGATGGAGCGCAACACAGTCGCTAGAATGGGAGACCATCAGCAGCACAGAGTGCATTCTCAAGATCTACTGGGACCAAGCCAACGTGGATACACCCCTAGTGGACGTCCTGATGCAGGCACTGTCATCAGATCTAGAGGAACTGCTCACTAAACTGGTAGAAAGGCAGATGCAGCCACAGCGAGACTTGCTGAGTAAAATGGATGATGGCATCAAGAAGCTAGAGGGCATCATGGATCTGACAATAGACCAGACCTTCAAAGACAGCAGAAGCAGTGAAGAAATCTTGCAAACCTATGAGCCACAAAGTAGGGACATCAACAACTTCCTGGGCCAGCTAGCAATGTTCCACCTGACTAAGATGAGAAAGTACGAGTATGACTTGGACTGCATCACAGGTTGGACAGACACAAGGAACAGGATGGCAGGAGGGTCCTATGGGGAAGTGTTCAAAGTCAAAGTCCCATGGAAGGGAGGGGAGACACGAGAAGTAGCTCTGAAGCTTGGAGTCAATCCATACGACATCACAACTGAACAAACTGCCTGGGACTTCCTGCTGGAGGAAGAAAACCTACGGTAAGCAACTATGTCAAACAAGTTACATGTATTTTTGATACCAAGATCTCCCCAGTGCTATTTGACTATCTAAAGATAAACTATGCTACATTGTGAAAGCATGGTATCACTGTCAAACATTTGTTTATCATCAGGATACTGAAAGGAGAGCACATTGTGGAGTACTACGGCACAGCCTGCAGGAGGGAGGGGGGTGGTCTGAGACTGGGGCTGGTCATGGAGCTGTGTGAGGGAACACTGGAGAAAAGGATCGTTGGCAAGAGGTATACAAGGGGGCAAATGCAAATGATTGACCTTAGGGGCCATTTATCTGTATCTACAATGTATGTCTAAGCCCTTCGGCGTAACACGCCTGGTCCATACACTACATGTATCTTCTGTATCGGAATAGTGGTATAACTGCCCTTTGGCGTAACACCAGCTTCTGTATACTATTAGCTGGTATTACTCTTTACTCTTTGTTTAACTCCCTTCCTGCATGATTTAAACTTTGACCAAGCTTCTTGGCTATTACTTTTCTTGGCTTTAGTGCTAGTTTATCCCTCTTCCTCAAAGCCCTCTTGATTTGGGGTGTAATCCATGGTTGGCTACGTTGTTGTCTTACTCTCTCTTAATCTAGCCTGACTAAAAAATCACACTCCTGGTGGCCACCTGCCCACCCCCCTTGCGGAAACAGTTGCAAACTGACTAGTGTAAAAACAGGCTACATAAAATCAACAACACTACAATCTAAATAGATTATAATAAAACACAGTAAATTTTTGTGCATCATCATGGGCATGCCCACAGATGGCATATAAATTGCATGCCGATTACACAAAGAGAACCCAATGTTTTGACTGCGAACACGAAAAAACGGTTGTTCACAACACTCTGTCCGGGAAGTCCTCAGACCTCCTTCACGGAGTTAAAAAGTTCAACAATGTCTTAAAAATAAAACCATGACCCTTATGCATCACCACAGCCCAGCCAGGTGGGGTTCTGACCCAGAGAAGCAGGCAGCAGCCTTCAGCTACACCCAGAACCTGGCAGTGCAGCTGTGTGAGGGACTCAGACAGATCCATAAGGAAGGCTACATACATAGAGATCTCAAACTCAGCAATATACTGGTATGTTTTATAATTTGTACTTCTTATGACACCACAGGATTCACCAATCAAATCGAATGTGACAGATGTTTAATGGTTGGGATAATAGACAATTATGATATCTTTGTATTCTTTAGGCTGATACCCTTGTTTACCACAGTGACTTTTAATTAGTTATTATAAGGTTTCTATTCATTGAAGAGGTTCATCAGTCATGTCAGTCACGTAAAATTAACAGTTAGTAGAATATTCTTCAAACAGTGACTGTTTAAAGGGTGTTTTTGTCATATTTCATTCATCAGTTACTGTAGAATCAATTTGTTTGCCTGTATCTTCACAAGGTGACCAAGGACACAGTGAAGCTTGCTGATGTTGGACTGACCAAACAAGAGGTGAAAATCACGGGCACAGTAGCCGGAACCCCCCTCTACACAGCACCAGAGGTGAAGGAGCGGCAGATTTATGACAGGAGTGCCGACATCTACAGCCTGGGCCTCATCCTGTGGGAGATGTGGTACGGGTGGGCCTTGTATGGGATGGAAGTAAGTTTAGTTGGACATCATTACCGCTCAATGATGTATTTTGACAAGTTGCTACCTGCGCATACTCACCTGATGCCTTACTACAATGTACATGTCTGTATTGTGTAATCTTAAGGCCCTTTGGCCATGTTTGAGAACACCTTGAGAACATTTATGGGACTATATATATTTAGCTTTTAATTACCTTTTTACACTTATCGCTAACTGAGTGGGGGTCTATCCCAGCGTGAGTGGATCAAACATATCAGTCCAGACTTACACAGGTTGTACTTTTACATCCTAAGGCCACAGCAAGTAATTTTATGGATGACATCAGTGCACGCTTTGATTTAGCCTGGTTTGGGGGAAAAAACTAGAAATTTTATTGTCATCTGAACTTATTGTCTTCTGGCAGTGATGAACATGCCAAAAATGGGCAAAGCTGCCACGCTGGAACATGGATGGCAGAAAAAATATGAAGATAGGAGACAAGACAAGGCTCTGTTCAAATTGTTTTGTCTTTTACTTTGATGCAGTGAAGACTTATTATTTCATTTTTTTATATGTAATGGTGGCTGTGTATACTGTGATGTTTCCACTGAATCAAAACAATTTGTACGATGACTGAAAACTTTTATTTTTCAAACTTGTTTCATTGAGCTGGATTTTGTAATAGTTGGCAGTAAACTTTGGAGTCTGCAGACAATGTCTTCCATAAAATTTACTTGCTGTGGCGTAAGCACTGATGAACAAATCCTTAATTTGCTGATTTGTTTGCAGAATATGTATAATTAATTCATTTAATATTATGATGCTAGTAAACTTTGTTTTCATTTTTGTTAGGGAACTGAGTATCTCGCAGAGATGCAGAAATGCCTGAAGGAAGGGAGGGACATCAGGATGCCAAGGTGGAACAAAGCAGTCCCCCCCACCCGCATCCCTGAGTGGACTAGTCTGATCAATGACTGTCTCCAGAAGGATCCAAGGGAACGACCAAAGATACAGGACTGTCTGGACAGGATTAAAGCTATGGAATTTCCTGTGAAGGTAGAAACTGAAATCAAGACCATAAAATCCCCAAGCATATTGTTGTAATGGGAAGAAAGATCGTACTGTTTTACAATGCCCATTTTTTATGTCATAGTGGAGGAACTTTCCATGTAGCAAAACTTGCAAAAGCTTAATTTATTGGAAAACCTCTTCTGTACTAACTGGAGCATGATGATCGCTATGGTGACATGATTATTTCCAAAATGAATGAACAGTCACATGCATGAACCATTCAGGACGCCTTATAGCTCATCAAAGTACATGCATGCAGCAATACAGTTGGTCCTTATTAGTAATAGATATGTGAAAATATCTGTTCTGCCACAACTATAATCAAAGCAATAACCTTGCTGCTAATATTATTTCAGAACTACCGCACAAGTATGGGAGAGCACAAATTGAGACGATCAGCTGAGGATTCAGGCATTGCGGCTGATGAAAGTTGCTCCACTCCTAGCAGTAAAGTTACTGACACGAGTGCACAAAGTAAGTCATGGGAAGAGGTCTTCTTCCTTAAGAATTTTAAGTATTAAGAACTAAATGATAAATTTTGGCAGCTTCCTTTGGAACTGCAATGGCATTCTAGCTACAGTCTTTGAAACAGGATGAGTCAAGAAGGGATGGATAGATTTCCTTACTTTTTTACCTGTAGATTGGTTTGAGTCATACTTAACCGGGAGAACACAGTACACGTGCATAAACTTCGTGTTATCATCAGCAATCAGCGTCACTTGTGGAGTCCCCCAAGGATCCATCCTTGGGCCTCTCTTATTTATAATATATATAAATGACCTTCCTAACTGCATTCAGTTCTGCAAAATCGCCATGTATGCCGATGACACGATAATCTACTTCGCGGCACGTAACATCCGTACAGTCCAGCAGGCACTACAAGGCGACGCTACCACGCTCGCTCAGTGGTTTTCTGCAAATAAGCTGTCGCTAAATCCAACCAAATGCAAAACAATGTTAGTAAGATCGCCTAGAACAAACTGCCCAAACACTGACCTACAACTCACCTTAGCAGGCACTACACTTGAGCAAGTTCACACATTCAAGTATCTCGGGGTCGTTATTGACAGCATGTTAAACTGGCATGATCACTGTGAGCATATACACAAGAAGTTAGCGCAAATAATCGGTATAATCAAGTGTCTCAAACCATATCTGAGCACACAGGCGCTTCTCACACTCTACACGACACTCTTCCTGCCACATGTACAATACTGCAGCACGGTCTGGGATCAGGGGGGTAAGGGGGACTTGGAGAAAATTCAGAAACTGCAAACTAGAGCTGGTCGTGTGATCCTGGGATGTGACCGCTATACACCCACCTCAAACGTCTTGCACACTCTAAGATGGGTTCCAGTAGTTGACATACACAAGAGAAGCAAAGCTATACTGGTCTTTAAGGCACTTAACGGCTTGACCCCTCCACACCTTACTGCCTTGTTTACACAGTTCTCAGAAATCCACGCACACAACACTCGTCTCAGGTCACAAGGTGGCCTTCAGCTACCTAAAGCTAAATCTGAGCACAGAAAGAAAGCTTTGTCGTTCTCCGGGGCGGCGTTATGGAACTCGCTCTCGTCTCACCTAAAATCGGCAGGGACACTTACGCTGTTTAAAAAGATCTACAGTCAAGAATATATGGATACCGGACACTAATATTGAAAGGCCAACTTGTTACGTTACTTCTATATTATTTGATTTGATTTGATTAATCATATTTCGTTACTTTGATTAGCTAACTCCACTTTTGGTTAATTATCTACTTTTGGTTGACAAACCTTTTGACCTATCATTATGATTTGATAACTGAATGATTATGATTGCTTCTATGCTGCCTTGTTTCATTTTGGTTGTATAATGAGTTAGCTACGATTCTCATTTTGTTCACGATGAGTTTATCTATTTTAATTGACCTGTGTTAGTTCTTCTTTTATCTTAATTATTATGTAATGTAATTTTATGTCGGGGTTATCCCCCCAGGAATCTTTGAAAACCGCCATACAGGCGACATGTATATCCTGGATAAATAAATAAACAAACAAAATAAATTTGATTGAGACCAATGCAATGCGGTATTTCAATTTTGCAAATTAGAACCTCCTTATCTTAATTATTTACACATAAATACATTTTGTCCTATTTCAAAATTATGTCTGAAATTCTGTTGGTATAAGAAGGCATATTTGCAGCAATTTCATCCAGCAGTTCATGCAATAACATATTGTATGTGGTAGTACAAAAGTCATGTAAATGTAGTTGCAATTGGGCCAACAAGATCACAATAAAAAATGAAAGCTATGCTTTGAAACGGTCATTCTAATAAAGCATTTATGAGTGACTCCAAGGGATGAAGACACCTGAATGCCATATTCGTGCTTTTTCATGACGGGGACATTAAATGTTTCTTTATTTTTGCATGGAAGGTGCAGAAAGTCAGCAGAGAGATACAGAAAGTCCGCACAGGGATGACGGAGAAGGGCTCAGTGGGAATGAGGGGGACTCGGGAGCTACAGGTGGAAATTATGATTGAGAACATTTATTTAACAATAAACATTCAGAATTGCATTGTTTTCCCTCCCACTATTAGGGAATTCATTTAAATACATGTATACAATTTTCAACAAGCACCATTCCATCTGTTGTGTGTCTTTTTGTAGCTCTGGTTCACAGGAAGCAGTCAGGAAAGCTACTGGAGTTGCAGAAACAAGTGACAGACATTGTGCGCGAGAGCCACCCCAACCTGAACTTCGTCCCAGACACCAATAAGGAGGCAGATGAGAAGAGGATAGAGCTCAACAGGACAACACTGAAGGCAGAGGTTTTCTCTAGTGATGTTAACTTGAGCCTTGATTCAGTCATATTTCAACTGATAGAGAGGAGAATGAAGTCAGTGTGCCGTATCAACTGGCCGGGGGGTGCAGGAACAGGGTTCCTGTTGAGTAAAGGAAAGGTTCTCACGTGTTACCATGTGTATGAATTGATGCACAAGGCCTCCTCGTCATTTCATGAAGCAAATCACTACACTGCAGCATTCTTTGTGTCTGTTGATAGGAAATATGAAGTTCCCCTTGAAGCCCCTGCAGCTATGCGCATTTGCCATAGTAAGGATCTAGATTATGCTATTCTTCAGCTGGCAGTTGGAGATGTTGAGATGGAAAGAAATCTTGAAGATTTGCCTTTCCTTGGGCAGTGTGTCTCAGAGGGTGAAGACAGCAGAAAGATGGTTGTTCTTGTAGGTCATCCTCATGGTGGGAACAAAATAGTCGACTTTGGTCGCATTGCTGGGGTGGATCGGTGCCACATTATCCACATTCATCATCCTAACCTCATCCAAGAAGACGAACGCAAACCCCTTTATGACACAAGTGTGATGTTCCATGGCTCCTCAGGCTCCCCAGGGTTTGACTCATTTGGAAATGTGGTGCTCATGCACACTCGGGGGTTCTACCCTGACAACAGCCGTAAAAGCGTCATTGAGCGTGGGACACGTTTGACTGCCATTAGAGACCATGCGCGTCAAACCTTAGCACCTGAGGTTTACAGTGAAATCTTCCCAGACCCTCCAATGTCAGTTGACTAAAACTGACTCTAGCTTTGCAGTCATTTTTAATTAGTCTGGTTTTGTACAGATTAAGTCAATTTCAGTTCCTAAGTACTGGTATAAAATTCAAATCTACCCTCATACTGACATTGAACAATGGACATGGTGGGACCAATTCAGGGAGATGTGCAATATACTAGACTACATGTATATGTAAATGACTGTTTCTCCGGATGACACTTTACAGTATACTAGTAACATACAAATGTAGAGGACAAGGAAACTATTTTTCTGTCAACGATGACAAAATGTGTAGAAGTTGACTTTTGGCTTGTAGCTAGGAAAAGTCCAGTTGTAATTACACACTGTATACTAGTAATACATGTGCCACTGCAGAAGTGTAAGCATGGTGTAAGCAATGAAGAATGCATTCCACAAATTTGATGTTCTTAACCTTTAATCATTGTGTTCACTCATGATACACCAACATCTTGTTCATCCGGACTCTGATATCCAGTTGCTTTTAGCTTTCTTAATGATGTGTACATTCGTAATGGAACAAGGCATCATTTGATGTGTAGTTTAACTTTTATAAAGTGACAATGTATAAAGATTGTAACATACAGAACATTTCATTTGTATCTTTATTTTTTATTGTCCCCAGAGCATTTTCTAAAGCGTTACTGGCAACTTACATGTACAACTGCCCCCCTCCCACCCTAACAGAACCGTGTACTAGGATATCTACAGCTGCACTTTGACCCCTGACCCCTACAGGTCCTTGATGACCTCCTCAACCTCCTCCTTGCTGAACATGTGGAAGCGTTTTTCCCGCGTGATCGTCGCGACCTCGACGTTCGTGGAGTTCAGCTTCTCCTCCATTACCTGCTTCAGGATCGTCAGGGCGGACTTTAGCGCTTCCTGGAAATAAATAAACAAACAGGTAAACAACTAAACATTTAACAACAGGTACGGGGTTGACTTCAGGAGTTCCTGGAAACAAAAGGTAAACAAAGGATCAGGGCAGACTTTAGGGCTTCCTGGAAATAAACAAACAGGTAAACAACTTAAGTAAGTAAACAACAGGTACAGGGTTGACTTTAAAGCTTCCTGGAGACAAACAAACAAACAGGTAAACAACTAAAGTAAGTAAACAACAGGTACAGTGCGGACTTTAGTGCTTCCTGGAGACAAACAAACAGGTAAACAACTAGAGTAAGTAAACAACAGGTACAGGGTTGACTTCAGGGCTTCCCGGAAACAAAAGGTAAACAAAGGTCAGCAACAGCAAGTAAACAAATGTTAATTTGAAACATATTACTGGTAGTAAAAACTCACACAGAAGAAGGAACAGTTGTAAGAAAATGAAAAGAGATGAAGATGCCTGAAGGATATGTCTGAAGGTTTTAAGAAGTTGTTGTTCCTTACTTTAAGAGTCATGGACTTGTGGTAGACCTCTTGTAGTGAGCTCTGCGCGCCCTCTGACCCTGAGCCGATAGCTTTGGCGTCGTACTGTACATATGTGCCTGCAGACAGTCAAATACAAGGACATTCAAGTCAACTTTGTATGAAAACTCAGAACTTGGAGACAACTACAACTGTGATAGATTTTTCCATCCATGATGAGCTTTGAAATAAAAGTGGAACACCACAGACCTCCAGGACACTTTCTTTGATAGACATATCAATAATAGAGATCTCTGGTGTTCTCCTTTTAAGCTACTCTTTCTTTGTTTTTTACATCAATGTACATCACAGCTGGTGACTAGATAATTTGCAACAGTCGATTGCATGTAGTGTTTGGTTACACGTAGAAATGTTGCTACAGCTCTACTTTTTTATTCCCAAAGCCACAAGCAATGTAGAACCTTTTACCTGAGGGATACGTGTGGAATGCAAATGTAGTGGTTGCTGCATTTCTACTTTCTCTGTTTTTGCCACTATTCTGTCCCAAAGTCACAAGCCATTTGCAACATGCCCCCCTCCCCCATTACCTACATGTGCAGCGGTTGCTACATTGCTACTTTTTCTGTTTTTGCCACTGTTTATTCCCAAAGTCACAAGTCATGTACAACCTTTGCATCATGCCCCCCTCCCCCATTACCTGAAGGGTCCATGTGGAACAGTTGTGGTCCCTTCTCATCGATCCCGGCCACCAGAAGTGCCACGCCGAACGGCCGGCTCATGGCGCCGGGATCCGGGTCCTCCTCCCCGAACTGGATGGCGAGGTTTGCCACAGCCTGGCACACACTCTCCACAGACATCTGCTCGTTGTACGTGAACCAGTAGTTCTGGAGAAAACAACAACAGGAAGAAGTTTGTTTTTAAACACACAAAAAGTGTCAGTGTCACTAACAAAAGGTAGTCTTGTTGAGGTTCTCAGCCCTCTGTTTTCTGTTTTTCATTACAATATCATCCAGTGTATTCTGCTCGTTGTACGTGAACCAGTAGTTCTGTGGAAACAACAGAAGTTTGTTTTTTAACACACAAAAAGGAGGAGCTCAGATAAGTGCACCATTGAGTGAAGTGCTTTCCCAGATATAGGAGAAGACTGCTGAACTGAAAGAGAACTTTTCTTCCTAGGTACCTGTTTTCATTACAATATATCTACAACCTTTCAATAAATCTTTACCTAAATATTATCTCATAACCATTGAGGGATTCAACAGCTCCAGACATGTTACTTTATCAAATTGTTCAGATTCTGGTACAGGTCTGGACCTAAACCTCTGTATCCGTATCTGATGTTACATTTAAGTACACATCCCTGACACACACATGCATACACTGCCACACACACTCACTCACACAAGCATACACACACACACACATACACATACAATCACTGGAGCTATACACACATACACACAATCGCTCACACAAGCACACACACTAACAAGCACACACTAACAAGCACACACACACTGGTGCCAACATCAGCACATCTGACCTGTGCCTCTACGCGTGCCTTGTCGATCATGGTACGAGAGTCTGCGACCAGACCGCTGACCGCACAGCCGATGTGACTGTCCACTTCTACGATCTTCTCTACACTCGTGGAGACCATCAGGGGGGAGGTGATGCGCTTCTCTACGGCTAACACGATTCCTGCAACAAACAGGTAAACAAACAAACAACACCATCAGAGGCAAGGTGATCTACTGCCAACACAATATCTGCAACAAAGATAAAGGCCATGATGTTTTAATACTTTACTTTATATGTACATAAAACATACATTTTTGGAATGTTAACTTTATAGTTTAGTTAAAACTTAAAGTTATAACTGTGAAAGAAACAAACCATTTTTGTAAGCTACAATCATATTTTACTTTATAAGCTATATTTTACAAGCTGTAGCTATATTTTTACTGTAAAAGCTATTAACTGTATGTAACACCGTTACCAACAGTAGGGGGTTTATAGGCAGTACCAACTGATCCGATGTTGGGTTCTAGACCTTTTAGCCAAATGGTTAGAGCGTCGGGGTTGTGAGCTGGTGCTCAGGTTTGGCGTGGGTTTGATCCCCGGCCCGGGACCAGGAGTGTCTTTCTGTTTCTACCCTCCTAATTCTTACATGTATTTTAGTTTTAACGATACACATGTATAAGCTTATTCGTACCCTCTGCAGTCTGAATGCTGATGGCGGTGGATCCGAGCTATATTTTACTTTAAAGCCATAGTAATATTTGACTGTTACTTTTTAGTGTAGTTTTAATGATATAAGCTAAGTCGTACCTTCCGATGTCTGAATGCCGATGGCGGTGGATCCTAGCTATATTTTATTTAAAGTTTAAAGCCATAGTAATATTTGACTGTTACGTTAGTGTAGTTTGATAAGCTATAATTCCTACCCTCTGCAGTCTGAATGCCGATGGCGGTGGATCCGAGTTTGATGGCCTCGATGGCGTACTCGATCTGGAACAGCCGACCTTCAGGCGAGAACGTGTTCACTCCACGGTCATACTCAGACCTGGGGGTAAAGTTACAGGTTTTTTTATCTATTGGTTTGGGATAAATTTGACGTCAAGCAGGGAACAAGGAGAAATAAAGTTATCTGAAGAAACAAGGTAAAAATATTCAATGTGATGTCAAATTAAGGTTCTTTGCAGACTTCAACCCCCTTTATGCATAGAGAAACAAAACAAGCATGCACACACACGTACACACACACATACCTCTGTATGACGACTAGAAACGACTAGAAACCATACTGACTGACACTCATACAGTTGTAAGCTAAAGAGTATTTCACTAATTTGGGGGTGATGAAAACGGCTCATACATAATTTGTTTGAAAATTATGATTTTGTACACTTTCATACAATTTGTTATTTAATATCTACATTTACTGTTCTAGTTGCTTTCTCGTTTCGAACTTCAGTCTCAGAAAGTGGTTGCAATTTGCAAAGAAAATGCTGACCGCCCCCCTCCCCCAAGTGTGCCGCCATCCAATCTTTGCCGCCGAATTACAGACAAAAAACTATCCAGTCAGAACATCTCACCTTGTCAGAAACATTCTACTGATGTTGTTCTTTCTCCTGCGCTCAGAAAAATGACTGAAACTCTGACAGATTTTTTTCTAACGCAGAAAAAAATCAGCGAATTTCTTTTTCAGCGTGACAAAGCACAGCGCGCCGCCTGACCTCTGACCTCCCGCGGGGCAGGCTGGGTAAGGTCGGAGGTCACCCCCGGACAAAGCCTGACTGCAGAATCATAAACATTTGGGGCGAGAAAATTTGTCAACATCGAGGTTAAAATCCGCCTTTCTCATTCGGTCTTTTTCTTTATCGACGCGTTTTCTTGTAAAAGATACATTTTTTGAAAATTGGAGTCACAAAGTCGCCGTTTCAAGGTCGACAGAACCGGTTTTGTGAGCCGATAATTTGGGCTCTGCTGGTAAGTCTACCGCAGACTCCCGAAAATATATTTGTCAACATCGGGGCTGAAATCGGCCGATTTCATTCGGCGTTTTTCCTGATCGACGCGTTTTCTTGTAAAAGAGATAGTTTTGGAAAATTCGGGTCGCAAAATCGTTGTTTTAAGGTCGGAAAAACCGGTTTTGTGAGCGATAATTTTGACACAGGAGGTAAATCTTACCGCAGACCCCCGAACTGTTGCCTTATAAGGAGCGACTGTAAAACCCGCAATTGTGGCGGTGACGTCATGCCCAGGGCTGGAATGTCGAGCTGAAGTTCAAGGTGAGGCTGTTGTTTTTTTACTGTATGTTTATTACATGTTTTACAGTACTTAGAGAAGAGCAGTCCACTCTGTGCATTTTGTTCATTGGTAGTAGTCATTTTTGTGTTCAACTTCTGGAAATAATTATTTTTGAAATGTCCATTTGCGATGTGTTGAATTTTACCATTTATTTAAAGAATATGTTATGGTTCTTTATACTTAAGAATACAAAGTTCAGAATACAAGGAACGTGGCTATTTACACTCCCGGTGTGTAAATAAAATCTATTTGTCTTTTATATACACTCCGGGAGTGTAAATAAAATCTATTTGTCTTTTATATACACTCCGGGAGTGTAAATAAAATCTATTTGTCTTTTATATACACTCCGGGAGTGTAAATAAAATCTATTTGTCTTTTATATACACTCCGGGAGTCGTAATAAAATCTATTTGTCTTTATATACCACTCCGGGAGTGTAAATAAAATCTATTTGTCTTTTATATACACTCCGGGAGTGTAAATAAAATCTATTTGTCTTTTATATACACTCCGGGAGTGTAAATAAAATCTATTTGTCTTTTATATACACTCCCGGTGTGTATATAAAAGACAAATAGATTTTATATACACTCCCGGAAAGTTGATAGGGCAGACATTCGAATGATCTGTCGCCGGTGGGTTATCCAGAGTCACCAAAGGGACCGGGGCGAACCCCGGGTTGGTCTTGGTCTGATAGATGCACGCCAGGCCGTGAGGTTGGCGCTTCTTCCGCATGTATTAGCTCTAAAATTACCACAGTTTATCCATGTAGGATGTGACGATCAAAGGAACCATAACTGATTTAATGAGCCATTCGCAGTTTCACTGAGACAGTTTAAACTTGCACGTGCATACCTTTGCTCACAAGTATGCCAGAGTATTGTTCCCCTACTTGCTCCTGGGTCATGCAGGCTGACAAGTCTGTGTGTGTAAGGTTTACAACGTCGAGCATCCAAGTACATACCGGTACATATACTTGCTGCAGGTCCTGAGCTACCTCTGTAACTAACTAACTAGCTAAAATGCTTATAAATTTTGGACATCAGGTCGAAGATTGTAATACAGGTCTAAAGATGACTCATATTCCATCGCAAATTGATGCCTTACATGCTAGTGTTATCAGGCGGTTAATGGATAACTCAGAGGGGGACTGGAAGATACTTCCACGTCTGTTTCTTAACAGTTTTGGAAAATATTTCCTTATTCTAAATATGCAATTTAAAGACAAACGGGATTGTCCTAACATGGAACACATACCTTTGTACTACAAACATGTTATCTGTAGTTGGCACAAAGCGATAGGCAGAAATATGTTAGAACCCGAGAAATGGAAATTAATACAGTCACCTCTATGTAACATCTGTTTGGAAATAGAGGACGAAAACCATATGTTCTTTCGATGTAAAAGACTTAAAAATTTTTGGAAAAATACTGAACATCATAATACTGAAAAAATACTGAACATCATAATTATCATAAAAGATATCAATATTGAAACATTAATTGATTTCGGATTATATTTATTTACATGTATGAAAATATACATTATAATCAGTATCATAACACCTTAACAATAAAGGTGCTACACCTAATAGTACTGGAATAAAGATAACCAAACCTGAATGTATGAGTAAAATATGGATGAATAAAGTTGGGAATGTGAATAACAGCACACTACCTGAGTTTAGAACTATGCACATTTCTATCCTTTACAGCATTACAGGTCATTCTATGAAATACATCCATTCCTACACATACTTTCATGACAGCTGAAAAAGCTCTTTAGGACCACGTAAACCACCAATATAGCACATAATTTCGTTTAAGTTGTGGCAACTTTTTTATCTGTGCTGTTGCATGAAAATCGGTACCAGAAAGGATATTATTCATACTACTGATGCTGTATGGCAATGTACAAACTGAACATAGTAACTGTACAATTTAACAGCATTTTCATAAATAAAACATACATGTATGTCACTAAATGCAGTTCAGCACATATTGAGTAACTGGTCCCAAGGCTGTATACGTACTATCACGCATCACTTCTTTACTTATATTTTACGCATCATACAAATCAACAACATGATCATCATTGGCCTGGAACTTAGTTATGATAATACTGGTATTTGATCAAGTACTGAAAAAATTAAGTACGTACAACAAGTTTGCCTGAAAGCGTAGCCTTTCCTGACATAAAGCGAGCATAAATACCTGTACTGTATGATTTACAGACTAAATAATACATGATGCCCTCTACACAAAAATAGTTACTTATATCCAAAGAAAAGGTATGTTTCGTTATGACTTGAGACAGAATTTAACAGTACAGCTTTTGGTAACTTAATCAATTTAACATTTTTTGCGGTAAAAATTATGTGAATATCAAAATACACTGTCATGGTAATGTTACCAATGTTCAGGTTGTTGGTCTTGTATGTCGCATCCATGAATAGTATCTCGGGGAAGCTGCTGAATGAGCTGACCATAGCAGATGTCTGGAGGTAGAGAGCTTCTAGAGTCTGATCCTGATCCAGTACCACAGCTATCTTGGCGCCTTTGTCATTGTGTAGGATGTCCTCTAGGGCTCGGATGACTGCATCAGCTTCTGTTCCCTGTTGAAGACTTGCCCTCAAATTGTGGAGATCCTTGCTAGTTGTTAGTTTCCCACTGGTCTTGTGTACATGGTCTTTGAGTACCCTGACATCCACCCTCAATTTGGTTAGCTTACAGGCTTCTTCCAGAAGTTCTCCTTCCAACCTTCGCTGTGAGGGGTAGTATTTCCGGACCTCTTCACCCACCTCATGGTTATGGTTGTCATTGAAGCTAGTTACGACAAGCTTTCCCTTCTTACGGTCGGATGACACATAGATCTCTGCCGGACAACCCATTTTGAAGGTTCTAAAACAATTAAGCAAAGAAAAAGAACACATTTAGTGAATGACAGTCCATGCACTGTGCACCAATTGAGAATGATTCAACACAACAAGCAAATGAACCTACATAACAATAAAATAAAATATAACATAACTGTATCATCAGCTTTTCATTTTCTTCATTGCAAAGCTACATCAAGTATTTCATATCATATACTGCACAATAGTCATGCATGTTAACCATAAAAAATATATGTTTCATGTACGGGATACCCCATATACCGCATTACAATTACAGAGTGGATTTCCTGACCTAGCTCAGAAGGTCCCGGGTCGGAGTTTAAATCTGACCAGAGTCTAATTAAGTGTGTAGTAAATCGCTGGGAACGTGACTTAAGTTGGTACATTTTGGCCACGATATTCCTAATATGGTAACTGCTGCGTATATTTCTTTTGTTTTCTGAAAAGCCTGTTAATTGTAGCCTTTATAGGTGGCGTAATCTTGGCGGTCCAGCGGAGACTTCCTGGTATTAGTCCGCGCGGATGATAACGTAATCTTTTCGCCTGATCACAGGGACGGTGCGTTCTACGTGTGTTGTGGGTGAGTTTGGGTCATCTAAGATAGTAGTTAACTTATCGCATCGATTTTAATCTGATTCTGACATTGGAAACATTAGGAACTGAGTTTCTTCAAGAGGTAAGCCGTTACCCTGGGAAAATTTGTTTTTCCATGCAGCCATGTGTAAAAAAATGACCCCTCACCAATGACCCCTCACTTAAAAGTGTACTTTGATATGCCTTATTTAACCCTAAATAAATTGGGCGCAGAAAACATCAACCAAGTGTATTGTTAAGCAGCATGACACCCCTTTCAATGGGAAGAATGAAAAAATTCTGACCCGCATTTATTATACAGACATGAAAGCCCATCGGGCTGAGGATAGACAAATACGAACACAGAAAACTCCGGTCCGAGACCAGAAGGGAAGCTTATCTACAGACCACATTTGACTTACTAGTAATCAAAGCCAGGTAAAGTGGGACATTACGTCTTCCATGGTCTACAAAAGAGAAGTCAAACCCTTCAGACATAGTTTTAGACATAGCTATAGTTTCAGACTATTACAGGGGTCTCTCCCAGCAAATTCTTAGGGGAGAGGTGCTCACTAATTGGATGATGAAAATTCTGTGAAATGGAAATACTAAGAAAAAACATGATTTTGAAAATTTTGGGAAGGATTCTAGGATTTGGGGAGAGAGGGAACACACTGCTTCATAATATTTGCTTGGGGAGAGCCCTGCACATAATTTCCCGCCAGTACTGAATAGTCATAAATTTGCCCCCCTCCCACTACATGCACCACAGAGTAGAGTAGAGTAGAGTAGATCTTTCGTCTCAGTCTGGCCAAGGATTGTGGCTAGTATGGCTTCAAGAGTGACTTAACTAGCCAAGGGAAATTCCTGAGCTACAATGAGAAAAAAATCGATGTATACTCACGACTGATTTGGCCGGATTCCCGACCCTGACGGGCGCGGCTTCCCGTAATGAATACATCCAAACTTCACCGCTCTATAAACATGAGCACACGGAAACTTTTGGACGCCTTCAGGTAATTTCCTGTTCTCAGTTTCCACCTTCTTGCTACTGATCTTACTGAGCTCAGCGTGTGTTGTTTCTTGATAGTTGTCCAGTGCTGCCTTAAACTCTGCCCAAGTGAGAAATTCGTCCCCTAACTTCAGTAGGGACGGCGCGGCAGCCATGTTGGCGCGAGAGACCAGGCCTCAGCGGGAGACGAAAAATAGCGGGAAATCCCTGTCGAGTGCTGATTGGCTGACATTCGGGTCGTAGGTCAAAACCCTGTGTTTTCGAACTTCGGTGGGGATTTCCGTGTTGTTTTCTGATTTTCATCATCCACTAAGATAAACTTGAACACCGAGGTTTAAACTTGGTGCCCCTGAATCCTCAAACACTCACAAAAACCCAGGTTTTGGGCCTACCAAGGAGGCTAGTATTTCGGAGTGTATATAAAATCTATTTGTTTTTTATATACACTCCGGGAGTGTAAATAGCCACGCCGTACAAGGAATACAAGACCAGACTATTTCTAATATCCTATGTACAGTTTTGTTTACATCAGTGTGTCATGTCATCACAGCACTGAAAATAAAATGCTAGACCAAGGTAGCATAATCATTTTAGTTGCATCCTTTTTGGTCTCCACCAGACTATCTACATGTATGCTTGCAGAAAAAATTAATTCATGTAGCCAAATAGGAGAATGTATTGTCTGTACAGTCCGTGTGGCAGGGCAGTCCATAATATAAGACATATAAGATAAATGACACCAGAAGCAAAGACAAATAAATGATGTATAAATCATTGCTTTATTGCTAGTTCTCTAGGTGTGACTGCCAGGTACAAATGTAAGCTTCTGGACCTGGGGGTTCAGGGTTCGAATCCCAGCTTTAATCCATGTGTTTACACGTGTACATCGAAGAAGCCATACGAACAGTTCTGTTAGTGTTACTTATTTTTTCCTCACATGTTGTGCATCATCTCTTTCGTTGCTCCTACAGGTGTGACTGTCAGCAGTCTTGTGTTGTCGCGAAGCTCGAATCCGCCCGTCGCGTCTATGCTGTAGAAGCAGCATCTCCATCCTGCAGTTATGGAGTGGCAGACAGAGGGCGCCGCTGCACCAGAGGGCCAGCTGAAGGAGGAGGGTTCTCCTTACGACCACCTGATCGAGGTGTTCCTGCTGTACCAGTGTCGAGTCTGTCAGTACAGCAGTGTGGAGAGTAAGAACAGCATCCTGTCTCACATCAGGTCAGTTCTAGTGTGTGATAACTAGTGTTATATCATACCTGGGTCTGTGTGATAACTAGTGTTATATCATACCCGGGTCGTGATAACCACACCTGATCGAGGTGTTTCTGCTGTACCTGAGTGTCGTGTCTGTCAGTACAGCAGTGTGGAGAGCAAGAACAGCATCCTGACATCAGGTCAGTTCTACACCAGGGGTCCAGGGTTCGAATCCCAGGTTTAGGACAATCTCCAAGCAGATCCTAGGGTGGCAAAGGACAGTATCAAATTGGTCAGAGAGGGTTCAATTTGCCACCCAAGGTTGGTTGTGGTAGCAAAAAAAAAAGGGCCATAGTACATTAAAACGATCTTCTCCCAGCAACCTCTGCTTGGAGAGTAGATTTAGTCCTTGCCTTCCTACAGTTTTTTCCATCTATCAGTGCCGTGGTTTCATTAAAAGTTTGAAGTTTGAAGTGTAAAGCAGCCTGGTATGTTGACTTCGTTGTTTTTGTTCCTTCCCACCCCTCAGGACCAAACACTGTATGGAGGGTAAAACTTTGAAGTGTGAACCAGTCCCATGACTTTGTTTTTTCTGTTAGAATCCCACCCTCCAGGATCAAGCACTGTAAGGAGGACAGTAAAAATCCATAGTTTAAAGTATAAACCAGCCCCCTAACTTTGCTGTCCTTTTATCCTATCCTCAGGACCAAACACTGTAAGGAGGACGGCAGCCTACAGGAGGTGGAACTGTTCTCTGCGTCCATCTCTGTTTTCGGGGAGAACTTCGCAAACACACTCAGCGGCGGGGCAAGGCCCCACACCTCCGACGGACACAGGAACTCATCAGGCAGGGAGGCCGTCAACCTAGGGAGCTCTCCCGGAAGGTTCATCACCAAGGCGACGGTCAAGGCCGTGCGAGAGGTCATTGACACCAGCTCGCTGAAGTCTGCGAAATCGCAGAAAACTGCGGAGAGGGAGGCGGAGGACACGTTCCGTTTCCTTGGCAACAGCGACGACGAGGAAGTGAGTGACCTTGGGAAGGACAAAGACCCGGACTATCGACCTTCAGGTGTGAGGAGAACTGTCGCTGTGTATGAAAGTGACGATGATGATGATGATGATGATGTGGACAATGATGATGACCTTGAAGGAGAGAACCACTCCTATCCTCTAAAGAAAAGGGTCAGAAGGTCAAAGGTTGCAGACCCGGAGGAGGCAGAGAAAGCAGAGGATGATGGGAATGAGAAGGACCTTGAGCGGCCGGGCGTGCGGACCCGGCGGGGGAGGGGGCGACCTCGCAAGGTCAAGGTCAGACTGCAGGAGGGGGTCAAGCGGAAACGAGGCCGACCTCGGAAGGTCAAACCGGCCAAGGTTCAGAAGCCGAAGTTCGTGTGTCGCGTGGAGAGCTGCAGCTACCGACCTATGACCCAGGAAACACTCGAGCTGCACGAGAAATGTCACATGACCGGAGGGTCGGACTTTCGCTGCTTCCTGTGCGATCATGTGACCAGCAGGTGGTCTGCCATGCACGTCCACATCAACTACTCCCACAAGAACATGTATTACTGCCAGGTAAACAACAACAAACAAGTTAACAAACAACCCTACTCACATAAGAACATGTAGTGCCTACTATCACTTAGAGAAGACAAAACTGCACATATCTGATGTTACATTATGATCAGTTTTACATGTATATATGTTTACATAAGGAAAACTGTTTTTACACAGTCTCCAAACAGTGACCTCTGACCTGGTCAATGACCTGAACCAGACGTCTGTTACCATGGTAACTGGTGTTGGGTTACATCATGTTGCAATTTTATTGTATGAGTGACTTAGACTCCTGTCTGACCATATACATAAATGTGTTTGAGTAAGAATTAACAGAGCAGACCATATGTGAAGGTAAACATTATGAATTTGCTTTGCAAATGTTACCTTTCTAGTTGTGAGTTGTTTGTGTGTGTTTCCTCCTCAGTTTTATTGTATTTTTTATGCTGTTTGTGTTTTATTTCCTACAGGAGTGTGAGTACAGCACCCGTGCACTGCCCTTCCTGAAGAGACACATGGCAGACAAACATCTCCACTCAGCTCTGTGTGAACAATGTGGCAGGAGCTTTCCCTCTAGCTCTTACCTAGGTTAGTTACTAGTTAGTCATCTTAGTTATTGATATTATTAATAACTTGGTTATGAAAAAATTATTGTTGGATCAGTCAGCCCAGTGATCCTTCCTGATTGCATGATAAAAGTTAAGAGAATGACATGGCTGAAAAATGGATACTACTTCTCATGTAAAAAGGCTTCTCCTTTTAAAAGCCCCATGATAATTGTTTGTGCCCCCCTCCCCAGCCCTACATGTGATCGAAGAGCACAGTGACAAGTCGAAGCACAAGTGTCCGCAGTGCCACTTCACGACTCCGTACGACCACGAGCTGCAGCAGCACCTGACCTGCCACCTGCCGCAGTTCACCTGTAAGGTCTGCGGGGAGAAGTTCTCAGCTAAGATGGAGCTGGCAGGACACATCCAGATCCTCCATCCGGGCGAGAAAATCTTCTTCTGCGACTTCTGCAGGTCAGGATCAACTTTCACCTTTCAACTCTCACCTTTCAACTCTCACATCTGCTGATGAACTTTGATTTCTTACCCTTCTTCTGCAGGTCAGGATCAACTTCCACCTTTCAACTTTGCTCATCAACTTTGAACTCTAACCCATCTTCTGCAGGTCAGACTCAACTTTCAACTCTCACATCTGCTGATCAACTTTGAACCCTAACTTGTATGTCAGGTTTAACTATTAACTTGATCTGATGAACTTTGAACTCTCGTGTCTGCTGATGACACTGAACTTTTAACTCTGACCCATCCTCTGAAGGTCATACTAAGTCTGCAGTATCGCGACAGTTTTGGCTTCATGATGACTGATGCAGAGCCTCCTTTTTTTCTTGAAAACTACACCATCAAAAAAGTTCCTGCCTTGGCAGAAGCTGTGCTTTTTCATAGCACAAACTTACATCAGAAGTTTGTATTTCTCAAACTTATCATTTTCTTGTGTTTCTGCCCTGTTGTACAGCTACACGGCTAAGCTGAAGCACCACCTGGAGAACCACATGAACAGTCAGCACACGGCGCGCGGCGTGTTTCCCTGTCCTGACTGTGGGAAGGTCTACAAAACACAGCACCACATGGAGGATCACAGGTGAGCACAGGTGTACAAAACTCAGCATCACATGGAGGATCACAGGTGAGCACAGGTGTACATAACACCACATGAACAGTCAGCACACGGCGCGAAGCGTGTTTCCCTGTCCTGACTGTGGCAAGGTCTACAAAACTCAACATCACATGGAGGATCACAGGTGAGCACAGGTGTACATAACATCACAGGTGTACATAACTCCACATGAACAGTCAGCACACTGCGCGAAGCGTGTTTCCCTGTCCTGACTGTGGCAAGGTGTACAAAACTCAGCATCACATGGAGGATCACAGGTACATGTATAACTAGACTATGATTGTAATCTTTGTGTCCAGATACATGTACTCCAGACACCCCTCAAATCAGTTACTGCATGCAACATCTGTGTCCATAATATCACCATTATAAGTCCATAATATTGCCACCTTGAGAAAAAGTGTGCTTAAAGATATTTTTACTGCAACATACTTTAGGTATGTACATGGTATGTACATTTGATGTGTGCAGGCTTGCATACCAAAAGTATGTTGCAGTAAAAATATCTTTAAGCACACTATTTTTCAAGGTGGCGATATTCTGGACCCTGGTGATATTATGGACCCTGGTGATATTATGGACCCTGGTGATATTATGGACCCTGGTGATATTATGGACCCTGGTGATATTATGGACCCTGGGGATATTAATATGGACACGAATGTTATGTCTTTGTACAGTCCGTTGGTTTGTCTATGAGGTATTTAAACACAACATATAGGGTACAACAGAGAGAGGGTACAAGTTTCAGTCATCAGACTGCTAAGCAGACCCTCACAGGACCTGGGTTTGAGTTTTGAAGAAAACGTGATGCTCAGTTGTTGCATCAAAGTTCTTCGTCAAGGCATACCCGTGTCAATAGTAAAGCTTCTTCCTACATGCACACCCCTCCCCCAGGCAGCCCACCA